CCCTCGGCGAGCGACGCAAAGCGTCTCTACGCAACAGCGAAATAAACTTAGGTAAAACAAGGAGTGGGGGAGGGGTGGGAGGGTGGGAAGGGGGAAGCAGGAATACCCTTGGTCTCTTCAAGATCAAGAAACCACCCTGAGGACTAAACTCGAATTCCGATAGCCACTGGTTCGATCACTTACTGAAATCAAGCAAGGAAAAATGGTAACTATCCGTAACCGTGTGAATTTAAATTTTTACCTTTGAATGGCTGCGACAACAAATGCTAAACATGAACAGAGCCGGCTGAGAAACTGAACAGCCTGTTCCCTTGATGGTTTAGCGAGATCCTTCAGAATGTTCTGTGGTATGGGATGAGGAAATCCAACACCGTTAAATATCTGTGCACTGTAATTGAAAACGAAATCAGGTTGGTGTGCGATGGAAGAACGTAACGATTTTAAACACTTCAGTAGAACGCGTTTGTTGCGGAAATCAGCTTTAACTTAGGATAAGAAAAAAGCGAGCTCAAAGACCTGAACTGATTGACTGCGTTCCATATTGTCTCAAAAGTTGATAGGACCAGAGCATGAGGATTGCTGTCAGCCTCTGCTGTGTTAATCTCATGGACACTACTGCTTTCTTCTGAACCCTCTTCAAGTTTCGCCGAGAACTTCTGAAAGATAAACATTTATTAATTATACAACACTAAGAAAAACTTAAATACGAATTACAAAGATCAAAAGCGTTTGTAGTTTACAAGTTAAAACGTAGTCAAACAGTTGGCAAAGGTGACATGATATTGTCTAAACTACTGTGTCGGTTTTTGTTCGTGGACAAAATGAGGAAAATATTAAAACGAAAGGCTAGTGTCAAGTTGAAGTTTTCTTAGTATGTACCATAAAATCAGCTTTCACACACCTTTCAATAGAAGAGAGAAATGAAACGAAAATCCGCAAATGGTAGAACACGCCTACTTAAAGGCAATATTTCTGACTCAAGAAGGCGATTCGTTGTCTACACAGTTGTCAGTGCGTATGCACCCCAAAAGAAGGCACAGCTTGACCCAAGTGCGGGCTCGTATCGCGTATTCTGCATACAAAGAACGCTTTGAAGTGCAAATATGATGAGTTACAACAATATTTCTGCACCGAAGAAAATTAACCAACCTCTTTCTCCGTTTCTTTAGACAAAGATGGTGGGGAATAACCAGTGCCAGGCCCATGCAGGGCTGGGACTCGAGGAGGACCCATAACAACAGAGGCCTGGGCGCCGGTAGACTGTGCTTGATCTGAATGAAATTCTTTGCACCTCTTTTGAAGGACGATAATGGCTGTCACACACTTGGTTATCGCTCCATTGTAACTAAAACAAATCACACATATGAGAAACAAGACTAGACCCAAGAGAAAACAACAGGCTACAAAAGATGTTAATTAAAACTGATACGAGTCGAGGGTAAAGGAAAAAGGAGAATATCACCATCGCAGTGCACAGTGCTAAGTTGAGCAAAGCTTACAGTATAGTCAACGCATTTTTGCAACAAACTTAGTTCAAGAAACGGAAGTAGAAATAACTGTGTCCAGGCTATTCCGTGTGTTGTGTTACTCACGCGCCCTTTTTAATGTGACGTAAAAATATAAAAAAATTAATACAAATGGCGAACACGGAGGTTTTCACGAGAGGTCCAATTAATAAATTATTGCTTGAAACGAGAGGAGCTCTCCTAATCAGTCTGGGGCATATCGTCCGGTACGAAATCATTACCACACTATTGACAAAAGTCTTAAGTTCCAACACAAAGTTAAATTATTGACTAAGTGGTAAATTTTACTGATGATTTACCATGAACGCTGAGCTATACACTCAAAGAGATCGTGCGCCCGGTCCATTACAACAGAGGCATTAGCCAGACAACCAGGGGAACCTAACAACAAGAAATTAAGCATATAAGAACTACTTGACTTTGATGTCTGACTCACAAACAGTCACACAATCTATGCTTCTCTTCATTGTTGAACGTAATGTGATTACCTGATACAAGAACCAAAATCGACTAACTCTGAATTTACTGAATTACTGTAATTTATTTATTAGTACGTAGTAATACAGTTTAGTTGAAGCTCTCAGAGCTCTCCCATAATACCGCCATTTATCACCTTTACCTCCACTTCCACTGAAGTGCTTTCGTAGGTTTTCTACTGTCGTCTTGATTTTCCTTTCAAATACTTGACCGAAGACAGCAATCCAGTGTCTATGGAAGATTAAATAACATTAGACATACCTTAAAAAAAGTGCGCGCCACAGTTATGTTCCTCATGTTTATGCATAACTTTTCACGAAATACAACACGAAAAAAACTCCATGAACGTACTGCGAATCACAAAGATTATGACTTGAGATCCTGATGGTGACAGATACAGGGTATAAAATGCAATTTACACAGGACATCATCTTCAATAGCATGAACAGGGACAGTAAAATAGGCATTCTAGAAGCATGGATGCCCACAACCGAGAGACACAACAGCCGGAGAGCATCCAAATGAGCCAATTACAGCTGTTGAAGACCAGCCAATCACAGCGGAGCTTGATGCTTTACAAGGTGACGCAAAACGAATCGAAATGTCGTATTCCCCTTCGGAAGTGATTACATCTTCTTTATTGTTGTTTATTTGATTACTTTCCTTACTTGTCTAACAACTGAAGGAGGTCAGCTAAGGTCCATGGTGGTTTTATAAACACAATCTTGTCCCTGAAACCCAAACAATCCATCTGAGTAAATAGAATGAGAGACTTAGTAAATTTTGGGCTCTATAAAGACCCGAAGGTCTGAGTTTCGATTCCTCCTGGGGACTCAGAATGTTTTCTTTGTCTCACGCTTGTGACAAGACGAAAAACATCTGTCTAATTCATCTGAGTATTTGAAAGAATGCTCAGAAACAAGATCTAAGTTAAGTACCATCTTTCATAACTACAGTTGTACCTTCTGACATACCACATGTACAGACAGATTTATCGGAAACTTCTATAAAACCACAAAAACAAAATTGGGAATATTACGCTATAATCAGCGTAATGAGGATCACTGTAACGCCAGCCTGAACTTTAGGCGCTAAAGTCAAGTTACACTGTACCTCCATCCCTGATCACACTGTACCTCCATCCCTGATCACACTGTACGTCCATCCCTGATCACACTGTCTTATTTTCTACTTTAACCTCGCACTATTCGTAGTTAAACTAATCAACTCAAGGTAAGCAGCATACCAAAGATCTTCATAAGCTGCTCTCATTTCAGTCTCCACTACGACAGCTAATCCTTCCCTCATAACACACTGAAGCTCACATACAAGATCATCAGCCTACATGGAAGTACAATAAAAATAAACATATGTGATTTGGTGAATACAGGTGGAGTTGGCTCACAAACTAAGTGCATCACTTGAGCACAGTTCACCTAATTTTCCGTAGCTTTAGATCAGAGGGACTATTGCTACTCCCCGCTGATGGGAAGTTACACTGTCACAGGAGCGTAAGTACGTTTCTACTTGTGCACTTTCTGTGGGGAAGGGCATGTGAAAGAAATATAACAAGGAGTGCAATGGAAACAATGTAAAACAAAAAGTTTGTCTTAACATGTGGGAACACCTAAACAACCACTCTCGTACCTTAAAAAGCTATTGATACTGTTACAACATAAATTATAAACTGTTCGATATATTTTGTTCGATTTCTATAAACTGTATAACGCATGCCAAATGACGAAATATGCACCCATACTCGTACGAACAAAGCCAGTTTCTCCGCAAATGGTAAAGGGGTTTACACAGGGGCTTGAGTTTATTTTAGAAGGCAGAGAGAAAATCGTATAAAAATCAACGCAACGTTTATTACAAATGAGACAGTCATCTCTAATCACTTCCCTCCGATTTCGGACACCTCCATGCGATTTCGCACTCTTCCTTTCCATCTAAAAAGTGCAGTGTCCGATTTCGGACGTTATCTTCCGTTTACGTCCACTATCTTTCGTTCTCAGATTCTTTCGTCTGATTACGTCCGCAATCGTCCGATTTCGGACGGCATCTCCTTGCGATCATAGACGCTATCGTCCGACTCTTAACACCTCATTCCCATTTGGAACGCTAGACCTGAATTTTTTTCTTTTGGCGATTAAAATTCCATGTGTGGCGTCCTTTTCATGATTTTACGTCGCCAAATGCTGACTTAGCGAAAAGGTTAAGCTCGGAAACATACAACATACCTTGGCTCTCATATCTGCCAAAACCTCTTGCCTTTGAAGCTCCTTATAATAGTCTACAAAAAAGGAAGTAGAAACAGTGGAAACAGAAATTGAAATTATAATCATGATAGGAATTTAGCTCGACTTTCTTTGGGGTTGATATTGTGAGAAAACATGGTACTGTTCGTAAATTACCAGGTGTTTGCATTTCATAGAGCTTGACATCTGCTGCAACTTCCACATAAATGTCACGTAAAATTACGTCTAAAACTCACCTTGAAAATAACCTTTCTTTAACACTATGGCACTGCTCTGGAATAATTCTTTCAATCCTGTGACAAGACTCTAATGCAAAAACAAATAAATAATGTCAGACTACTGATTTATCCATGTACACTATTGCAATATCAGCAATTCCATTTTTCTTGTTTTACTCACAAATGATTTCATACTTTAGGTATAAAACAAAATAGTATATTTTTAAATATACAGGTACCTGATGACTGAAAGCTTTTATTCCATTAATTATAGCCTTGCTGCATAAGTTTTGATCATTTGAGAACAAAACGGCAAATCCATTTTCCGCTGCAAGAGAAAGAATCATTATTCAGTAAATACAAGTACATGTACGTAGATTGAAGAATATAGATAAACTTTTTTTAAAGTCATAGTAAATGAGTATTCAATTGTTTAAAAAAATTTCATCACACTGTATGTACAACCTTGAGAGAAGTTAAGTATCAAAGATGAGAGGTGAGAGGAAAATAATGAAGAGTGAAAAATTTGCATGCATAACCATGCTCTGCTCATTCCAAAAGACACAGAAGGAAATAACTGGGAGAGAGAATTCAAATTTTTTTCATATTTTATTAACTGTAAACAAAATGCAGACAAAAGTCACAGTGATAGGGCACAAAAATACAATGCTATATAATCTATGTCCAATCAGAGAAAGCAATTGGTCTACAGAAAGTACATGCCTGAAGTCTCTCCGGAGAGCCTGTCAAGTAAACTTTCATGTTCAGCTAAAAACAAAGTATTTTTTTTCTTTTTCTTATCTGATAATTTTGTTCAAGCCATAATTATTCGAGATACATTTGCAAAACTGTTAATTTTTTTGGGTGTTTCTCATTGTGAAGATCTCTCTTTTTACTGACACATACCCTTTCGTTGAAATAATAAACAGCACTGCAGTATTTTGTCATCATTATTAGGATTTTCAATGGCACAGTTCTCCATCATTTCCCGAGCCTGGACAACAAAAATGAATGAGATTTATGCAAAGAAACATAAATTGTTGAGAAAAGTAACAAAAACTATTATGAACACTAGTTGTAGATATCTGTGAAGTATAAAATGACAGAGGAACTGTCCCTATTATAGAGGTCAAGGGAACAAATCACACCATTCTAAGCATTCAAACAAATCTCCACCCTGATATAATTATGGTGCTTTTTGCTTGATTGTGTCATGAAAATTGAAGCCAGTGGTTAACCAGCCTATTAACAGATGAAACAGAAAGGAAAACCATCAAAATCAATGCAACTTCATTGAAAACAAATTTTCCAAATTCTTGTCAAGCACAAAGCAATTAGTTCATATGAGAAGGTACAATTGTAAAGATACACTGTACTCATGCAGCACTGGTTACCCTGATTGTACTAACCTCAGACACTGTCTGCCCTCGAACTCGTGCATGATTAGACTCAAAACAAAGGTGAAGAAATTTGACAGCCTGCCTTGCAAGGATATCAACACCTAACTTGCCATTCTAAAACAACAAAGAAAGTATTCCATTTAATAATAAATGATGCAATTCTACAGTGAATGAAAGTTAAAGGCCCATACAGGCTAAGGCAAATCTCTAACATTGTGCAATATTTTTACTCTAGGTCCATGGTTCCCATGCAACATTGAAATTTCCAACTTTACTTTCATTCACTACAAACCAAACATTTGGTTTTTGCTATTCTGGAGCTCAGTAAGTGTGATGCTTTTAACAAGGTTTGCATCCAGCACAATATTTAGTCCAACTGTATGTGTATTTGAATGGATTAAGGAACACACTTTATGTAAAACTTAGCATACACTGTAAAACTGAAGAGTTGGTACAGAACTTCAAATTAAAGTTACTTTAAATAGTTTCAAACCTGATTTGTCTCAGTCACTAGCTTTCCCTTCTTTACCCTCCATGAATCACTCTGAAAACAAAATAAGAAAAAATGTACTTTCAAAATGCTATGGTCTAAGGCTAAGAATGTTTGAATTGAAACTTGTTTAAACATATATGTACCTCAAACCGAAAAAGGCATTTGGAAACTTTATTGAAATTGTATCACTGCTTAAAAATTTTTGTTGACCACATGTAAGTGCATGTACCATGTTGTCTCACTATCAAAAGAGCTGCAATGTGAAGAAAAAAATATAAAAAAAGAGCATTGAGAGATAGCAGGCTACCTTAAGTGAATCTAGTTCCTGAATCACTATCCATGGCACCACAAGAACTGGTCTGGCCACACCTACAGGTCAGTGTACAAAGAAATAGAGAATAGATAGCTAAAGCAAAGAACTATAAAGTCATTACAAGAAACATGTCAACCCAAAATGCTGTTACTAACAAAAACACACCGAACATTATAGAAAGTTTGAATCAGTAGCTTCCTCACTCAGAGATAAGTGGAGTGTAAATGTTGAAAAATTCACTCAAAATTTATCCACCTTTTGGAATTAAGAGCACACAATAATCACCAAAATAAACTCCCTGAGGCAGCTCAAGTAAATTATTTGGCTTTTAGAAAATGTAGGTTTTTGTAAGGGGGGGGGGGAAACAGTAAAAGCACAGACAATGCTGCTCATGTCAACATATCACACAACAATCATGCAGTTAAAGAATCACTCAATATGACCTCAATATTGTGGTAAAAAAAACAAATTGACAGTGGTTTAGCATGGTCTGTACTCTTATCAACAACAACATACACAGTAGTCAAAATGTTGCAGAGTCACAAGGTGCAGCCGACTGACTTCACAACATTTTGATTAATGTGATGATCAATACTGTTGTCAGTACAGTCAAGTAAATATCAAAACCACTGTCCATTTGTTAAATATAAAAGGTGTAAGTAAAGAGGATGACAGAAGTTAAGGAAGGATTTGTTTGACACTAAAACTGACAGAGGTAAATGTAACTGTTGTATTGGGAAGTAATAACACTAAAACCAAAGGCATACTTACCTTCAATGGGAAAGTCTTTTAATTCAGAAATGAGTTTCAGATGTGAGAGAAGGACATTTGTATCCAAAATTATATACAGAGTGTCCTGAAATAGATGGTCACAAGTTAAATTTTGCTACGTCTTGCACACCACAAGCTAGTGTTTTTCGTATAACTATGTCCAAGGACATCTAAAAAACTAGCAAATTCTTCTTTGTAAAAATGATATTAGTTTCTTTTGCACTTAGGTTCTGCAAAAAAACAAGGGAAACAGAGACAAGGACTTTAAAATCACCTTGTATGAAACTTTTGAGGGCCTGGATGTTTCAGCTTCAACCTACAATAAATGAACAACAGAATGCTAAGATAAGAAAACTCACTGAAGTGTCCATGTTTTGGGTGTGTTATCTATCATATAAAATTAGAAATGGAAGAAATTTGTATATCACTCCCCACAGACAAACATAAGCAGTACAGGCTATTATCAGCAACCAATTCTTCTATTAATTAAAAAAGTTCCTTCTAGTATGACTCATACTAAAGGACTTTAAAAGTCAATGTGAACATTTCCACTCACCATCAATGGATCAAGTACAAATTCTGATCTGATCCCTTGAAGCTTTAAGAGAAAAGGAAAAAAAACAGCAAAACACTTTTTTTTTCTATTTTTTGTGTGTTTTAATTCTGTGTATGCATGTAGGCAGTTAAAAATTGTTGGCTCTCAAAATGTTCAACACTGAGAGTGAATTGTATACTCAGATTTAGCAGACCCAGCAGTAAACAATGATGAAAATTTTACAATTAGCAATTTAGGTACATAAATGAAAGTGTGTTTGGCAGCAGTGGATCTCTAAAACAAGTCTTTAATGTACTGTGAATGTTTCCACAAGATATTCTCACCCTTCTTTTAAAGTGTCTTCAGAGGTAATTACCAATCCCACTCCTTTATAAATTATTTGAACTCTTCAAAGTACAGAAAAGGGATATATAATACTAAAGTACCTGCTTTCAAACAACTTGATTTTTCGGCGATTTTTGAAAGTGTCCACATGCCAAAATTCAACTACTTCTGAACACTTTCAAAAATGGCCAAAAAATCAAGGGATCGTTCTTGCTCTGAGCCCTCCAACTGTGAATATATGAAAGTCATATATTTGAACTGCAGATAAAGACATGAATATGAAAGCGATCTTTGCAGTGATAAACACTACTTGAGCAGTAGTGAAAACAAGGCCTGTATGGGATTTGAACCTATGACCTCTGCAATACCAGTGCAGTGCTCTACCAACTCAGCTAACAAGCTAACTAGGAGCTGCTCAAGTGTAGGTTCCAAATAAACCCATGAAGTGGTGAATACACAAATATATATTCACAGTCATTTATTCACCACTTTAGGGATTTATTTGGAACCAACATAATGCAAAGATTGCTTTCATATTTATGACTATTGCTATTAGCAACATTTTTAGCAGCTAGAAGATGAGTGAAAAGCAATATTTGACAAACACTGATTTCTCCATGACTGATTACAAAATAACCCATGCTATCTGAGTTAATCCTTTACATCCTCACATCAACATGCAAGTTCTCGCTAATGTTCTCTTCACGTTTCCTAAGGTTTTGACAAGAAGAGAGTGTCTTACAATCAAAAGATTCTAGAGTATAAACAATTTCCTTTATTCTCATGACCATAATGTTTGATTAAGGGGTTATACTGCTGGGAGAAATTAAATGCTCATCACTCTAGGGGTTGAAGGGTTAAGCCAAAGAATTCTGCATAGCAGCACAGGAATTCTCCAATCTCCAATGCCTACAAAACAAGTTGTATAACACATTAAATACCTCTGCTCTAATCTGATCTTTGAGTTCTTCATAGTTATCAATCTCCATTGCATCATCATTACTATCAAACTGTTGTGGCTTACTAGTCTCTGCTTCATAACCAACATTTCCATAGCTGATGAAGGACATTTGACTGTCAAGTTGCATTTCTTCCTCACTTTGTGTTTGATAAGCTACATGGCTGCCTGGTAACTTCTGACGTGAGTCTGTTTTGTCAGAATTTGTTCCAAGGACAGTGGGATGACGAGATAATGGACTGAATGGTGTATGAACAGCACTAAAACTAGCTGGTGATTGAGTGCCTTGCATAGAATTCCTTGAAATTCCATTATGTAGTCGTACATTATTTCCACTAGGCATATATCCTTTTTTGTACGGATGCCACATAGACCTGGAGTCAAGTCTTGTGCTATTGTTGATTTTGTCATTGTTAGCATTGTTCTTTTTCAGGAGTTTACCTGTTGCATTTCCTGAAACATTTTGCTCATTTGTTGGTCTTCTGTAAAACTTTTTTAATGGAAAGTCGCCAACACTAACTTCGTCACTTTCAGCACTTTGCAAACATGGTACACTAACACAGCTGCCCTGTTCACTGGGTGTATAAGTTGTATCTACAGAATTCACCCATGCACTAATGCGACAAGCTTTAGAATTACTGCATATCTGTTCCTGACAGGTGGAATTCAACACGGCTTCCGTCATCTTACTAATAGGTATCTCATTATCTTGGCCGGAGTCTCCTGTTGGTGAAGATAGTTTCTCAGAAACTGAATGCCCTGGGTCGGGTATCTTGTGCTTCTTGGATTTTTTATTTTTCTTTCTTGCACTAGATCCATCACTCCCAAACTCTTTCTTCGATACACTTCCTTTGCTCTGTTGGAGAACAAAGAAGACAGCTGAACTTTCATTACGGCAATGAATGTACTGCCATGTTTTGATTTTGCACATGGGGCATTTATTAACTTGTGGTACCTTTTGAGAGGGTGCTTATTCAAGACATGGTGCATATTGAGGACATGGAACTTTTTTTTTTTTGAGAATCAGCAGAATGTGTAAAACAAAGCTTTGATGTTCACTTAAAAGAGAAAATAGTAAAAATAACAAGCATAAAGCAAATATTTGGGGAATGCGTAATAATACTCTAGCAATGCTATCACTGAAACAGAATAGGGCAATTATTGTAATAGGGAAGCAATTGGAATGAGGGTGATCATGAAATATAGGTGAACATTAGAATAGGAGTAGTTGCTAATAAATACAAATTCCAGGAGGCCCTTGCTAGAGAGGGGCACTTACTGAAACAAGGACACTAAATCAAATAATTAGGGTAATTAAGGATTGCAAGGGTTTTGCTTTTCTTCACTTACTAATTTGCGACAAAACAATGGCACAGCCTTCTGAATCAATCAGATACAAATCTTAAACCAATCATTTGAATCTACAGTACATGTAGCTAGGCAACCTGGCTGCTTAGAGGTGTCTTAACAAAGTCTCATACCTCTTTTTCCCCAATTAGAGCCAAGCAAAAGGGCATTCAAGAACCAATTTTTTTCTTCCATTTTTTGCAACCACCAAAGAAAAAGCTGCGTGAAGACCACATTTTGTTATTACTATTATTGGGTTGAATTCTAAGATGTCTGGGCAGTCAGGTTGCCGAATGATTTCCAAAATGTTGGCATTCATAGTCAATTTAAACATTTAGATGACTCATTGGTATCTCAAAACATGGAAAGAGGCAAATTTTCATCATATGTTAATTTAAATAATAGAAACAAAAATTGTATGATTTTACGAGCATATGCTTCCTTCAAATCTGAAAATTGTAGTTGAGTCATTTCATTAAAGTTCAGTTAAAATTACAAGAATGACTTGTGCTCTTTACATGTAAAGTACAGATTGAGTATAACACTTACATGAACAGATGAGTCATCATGGCTTAGTGGAGTATCAAGAGGATGCTTCCAGCTTGATTCCCTTGTGATAGTGTTAAAATAATAATGCTTGTCCCTTCTTGATTTGGACTGTCGACATATCCAGCCTGTTGGAAGCGGTCTGTCATCTACGTCAGCACAGTTCATACTGACTAGGCATCTTCTTTGAGATGACAAATATCTGTGCAGATCAATGAAAAAAAATTGTTCAGATTGAATTAGAATGGAGAGCAGTATACCAATAAACCTTTGTAAATTACATTAGAAAAACTCTTATCACAGCTATCTGTCAACAATGCAAGACTTAATTGCACAACACTAGGACTTGTTTTAGCCAAAGGTTCAGTGCAGATCAACTCCACAGCATGGACAATCAATGTTTTTCATTTATCATTTACAGCAATTGAGATTCATGGAAAATGTTGACCGTGTCATGGTCAAAATGTAGCCAATATACAGATGCAGAAGTCTTTGAACACATTTAATTTACGGGTAGTAATTCTCCAACTGTCATGGTATCAGATCAACTTATAATTGATATTTCTCTCTTCTCATCACTTGTCTGCTTAATATTATGATGATTATCCCTCTCCACACCACCAAAAACAAATTACAATGCACACTAAATTGTCTGCACTGAAGGAGCAAGGAGGTCTTGCAAATACAATAAGAGCTTCTAAATAAGAGAGGTCTGTCACACATCATTCTATCTGCATTCCGAGCTTAAGTGCTTTAATTTGCATCTGACTTTTGCTGATATGTATACCTGATGGTTAATCAGTTCACTAATCTGAAATATGAAATGCAGGCATGCATGGAGATATACCTAAAAAATATTTCATAATAAGTTCAGGTTTGAGTAAAGAGGACGATAACATCTACTGACAGAAATCTCACTAATTTATATTTTCTCACATAGGTCCGGACAATCACTTTCTCGTTGGAAATGGAAGAATTGTCACTAGATTTGTGTATGTATTTAAAAAAAATGGATTACGATGGAAAACACACATACTCATCTACTTATGAAAATAACAGCAACATTTCAGGTTCAACGTTTCGTTTCACCACCACTCACCAAATTATTTGGCGTCGATAGGCTCTGCGGGCGCCTACCCTTCCTTGCAAATACTTATCATTTAAGAGGTTGCTCCATGTATAGATGGAATGAGATGCAATTTAAACGTGCAATTAAATATTTCCCTCACCTGACATGCTACGTCAATCGCTCATTCGGGAGGAATTCCCAAACCACTTCACCATCCACACCAAAACACAGAACGTCCATGTGCATACATAGTAACCGCGCCAGAAGATTACAAGGGGCGCTGACGTAATGGCGCTGACCGAATAATTTCCTTTGCAAAGTAGTTGATAGCGGCGCCCAAGGATTCTAGGAGGCACAGGATCGAACCCAATTAAAGCCTGAGCAACTTCAGATTTCCTTTTTGGTTATTTTTTTTTTAATGGCGGTTTACCGATGAAGATTACTCCGTGATATGTTATCTATACCTGGTCATGCAATTGCTTGTTTTTGGTGTTTTAACACTTCTAAAGACCTTTAGGAAACTTAAATTCTTCAAGCTATCTGCACATATGCCGTCCCTAAATTTTAGTTGACTTTGAAAAGTGCCTAGCCTGTCAGCGGTCAGTTGGCATAGGTCGTACCCAGTCCATGCTGAAAATCGAAACAAAAGGGAGTGGTGTGATCACAAGGAACCGCTTCCTCATTGGGCTTCAGCAGTCAAGTAAATTTTTTTGGTGCAACTATCTTCTGCTGCAGCGGAGAGAGTATTCTCGATACTTGGAGTCATCGTTCAACTAGCAACAGGAATGTGCCCTAGTTGACAACTTGCGAACAATTGCAAGTGAGATGTCGCATTGCAACAAGCGATGAACGTTTTGAAGATCTCATGACACGTACAGAGCATTCTTCTAAGGACAAGTTCATAAACAGGTAAAATTGTGTAATACTTGACACATTTTAGAAACCCAAACAAGCGCCGTTGTAGAGATGTAAAAAGAAATAGAAAAATGTTTTTCTCTATATTCAGTTTACGAAAAACAACCTGATGCCTTATTTTGTACTGAGGTATTTTTTCTTCACGATCAACAAAGGATTTTTCAAACCAATGGAGCACGATTTTGAAAAATGAGCATAATTCAAGTATTTTTTGACAAAAAACGAGCATTGCCAAGAGTATACAATTCCAGTTTTACAGCCAGGTTCTGATCACGTACAAAACCTTGATATTAATTGCATCAATAAATATATCCTGCTCGGGCACAGTCTTGACATCCCATAAAAATTGTTTTCCGAGCGAGCTTCATTTTAAGAATCATGCAGGGTCAAATGATTACTAATCAGCCAATCACAATCGTCTTTAGAGCAACGGAAACCGCGGGTGTAGAACAACTACCGCTATAATATGGCGACACAAATAATACATCAGTAGGTTGGTTTTAACTCTGGTTTTAGTTAAAATCTACGAGGGCCAGAAATTCCTTCATTTCCCTTGCAATTTGGAGTGCACTTTTTCAAGAGTGAACAGGTATTTTTAGAGAAAAGAAGCATGTGGATCAGGGGAAATAAAAAAAGTTATCAGACAAGAGTTAGAGGAAAGTGAGCATGCCCGTCAGATGAAGATCTTCAACCGAGCCATCGAACCCGAAGAGTATTCGTGCAGACTCTACAAAGCAGTCATTGGAATCCTGTCATTGCCAAATGCCGCATAATTTGAAATTTGCAAGCAAACATTTCAAGAGTTCAAAATGTAAATGCTTCCCGATACACGCGCATGCGATAAACAACAAACCAATATAGAATCTTTTCTTTCTTTATTCCTTTTCCTGTTCCTTGGGGTGTTATTATATCGAAGCGGTCAACCGAAATCATTACGTGAAGAAATTACCAAAGTATTGTGATCATAGCTTAAGAATAATTTCGATTTAGGAAACGAGCACGCGGCAATTAAAAGAACCAAAAGAAAGGTAAAAAACGAGCGATTAGTTTCGCTTTGAGTAACAACTACGAGCTCAGTAACATAATCACAAAACAGGTTATTGCTTATCAACGTTCGCGGGTCTTGATTACTCTATCGAGGATTACAGTCTAACTTGTATGCTATTCAAAAACGACCTTAATCACACGGTGTCTTATCCTGAACTGAAATGCTAACTACAATTTTCTGTCGAAAAGGAACTAATCATGGAGGCGTCAATCTAACCAGAAAATATTTCGCAGCTTTTCTCGGAAGCGGTAACATTTAGCTTCAACGAAAGCAGTTACACAAAGAAGGCCAGCAGGGTAATGCAGAATCAATAAAATTTGATTTGGTGCTCTTAATCCACAGCATCTACCACGTTGATTTCGAAGAAGCTTTAGTTCACTGTTTTAAGAAAGAATTACACGACAATGGAATCTTCGTCTGTATCCTGCCAGGGCATGACCTCATGTACTCGATTAATCTAAAGCAGAACTGTCAGTGGCATGGAAAGCAAAAGAAGAGAGGAATATACGACACAGCCGAGAAAATCACCAGCGCTGCGTACGAAAACGGCTGGAAGTAAGATTTACACACGCAAGAATATCCTATCGCAGTCACTGAATTATTTGATGAGAAATCAACCGATGGGAATCTGCTTCTTGATTTTTTGACGCGCACTAGCCTACGTGTAGCCGTACCCTCCCCCGATGGTGAAACGGAAGCGAGGGAACTAATTAAAAGACTTTATATATTTTCTTGCAAAAGAGTGACGTCACGGAACACGATTAGTGACAGGTTTGCGTAGACTTTGCCTCGCCTCCGTTTCACCTTGGCGGGGGTAAGGGTACGGCTACAAGTAGTTTAGACGCATACTGGTAATTTTCGCGAGACGGCAGACAGACAGCTTGTAAAGGAAACCCTGGAATTGTTTGAAGATCTTACCACTATCGATAATGGGTGACGTCTCGGGAAAAAAATGAGGCTCGCTGGTTCTCATTCATGTGTAAAACAGCTGTCTTTTGTTCATCAATTTTTGTGATTTTGGCAATAGCTTGTCAACGCTTATGACAATATCAAAAACAAGAACATTAATAGTAGTTTGATTATTTGCAAAAAATTTATATTCTGGTACCATCTGATCTGTACAATTCATAAGAGACCCTAGTAATTTTCATCTTGAAACTCTTTTCTAAAAGCCTCTTTTTTATATATGATTATTATTATTATTATTATTATTATTATTATTTATTATTTACAGTCCTTTCTCCAGTTATTGCAGATCGGTTGGTACCTTGGAACGCGTGATTAGTAGCAAAAAGAGTTATTCAAGGTTACCCCAGTTTCAGTCCAGTTTTTTGGAAATGAATCATAATGAGTTTCTTCCCAATTAGCCTCCCATTTTTAGTGTTCTCAAATTGCGTATAGAGCGACAAAATCCTTGTCAAAAAACCTTTGTAATAACCTTTTGGCAAGACATATGCATAATTCTAAAAAGCCACACCCTTGATTGTTTTGATAGTTGTCATTACTATGTCAAAGAAAATCAAAATCAAAACTATTGACTGGCTGAAGTCAAAAATTTGTCTTAAACTAGGAACTTTACGTCTTTTGAAGAGAGCTTATGGTGGTCGTTTCTCCAAGAAATCAAATAGATGTTAACTTTGATGCGGAAGTCTCGGAAAGCAGGGTCTGAATTGCTCTTCATTCGAAAGGCACATTTCACCTTGGCTGGTAGTTAGGAATGACACAAGTGCTCACCACTATTTTGAGAAGATCAAAATTTCACTTTTCACATTACATTAATACAGGATGTGCTAGTTCTATACACTATGCACTACAATGAAATATTTTTCTACTTACATATTCAACTTTATTGCACATAGTTCTAGATCAAAACTTTACGAAAACAAACTTATGTATAACTGTAACAATTTAAAACAATTGATACATTCTTAATTTACATTCTTCTTCTGGCTTACTGCCTTAATATAAATAAAGAATAAACCTTCTGTAGCTCAGGTAAAAGAAGGAAATGAAATGAGTGAAATACAAAACATTTCAGTATTGAATAAAGGGGTAAGTTTCTAAAGAAACTGTGGTGCTGCGTCGGTGGGAGAGTATAGCAGGTAATTTAGTGTTAACAACTGGGTTGAAAACGTAAATTAGCCACCGTAAAGGGTAAAAAAGCTGACGTTTCGAGCGTTAGCCCTTCGTCAGAGCGAAGCAAAGCAGAAGATACAAAGAAAATACACTGAGCATCATTGCTCCTGTCCCTCCTCTAACATCAGCCAGTAAATGCTTAATCCACTTGGGGGAACAAATCAATCAAACACATACTTATGGTTAAAATGGTATCGTTCAAATTTCATGTTTGATAGAATTTACAGTAAGTAGTGGTCTTCTCCTGAATGAGTCCAGTTCTCATGGTTCTGAATAAAACCAAATGCCCAGAAATTTCAAATGGTATTGAATTACCAGACTGAGTCCAAAAATTTACAATGAAGTTTGGCTAATGTCAAATCACTGTAGATTCAACATAAGTTATATTCACTCAATTTATAGCCTACAGAACTGGCTTAATTTTTAATGTTTTTCAGTGAAACAGGAGCAAGCACAAGGCAAGCGCAAAGTGCAAGTCACATGCAAGGGGAAGGTTGCAAAATAAAATAACACTTGCACCCACAGTATTGTTCAAGCTTTGATCACATGATATCAAGTAACCAATTGGGTAGCTGTGTTCATATACTAATGATGGAACAGCTTGAACAACAGTGTGGGTGCAGGTGTAATATTTTTCACCTTCCTCCCCTCGCACTTGACTCTTTTTTGTCCTCCCCACTCATGCCTGACAAGCACTTTGCCCTCACCTCACATTTTCCTCTGATCAACTGACTCTCAAAACCTCAGCTTTTGAACTCTTTACAGCCACCAATTTACATTATCAACTCAGTAGATAATACTAAATTACCATTATACTCTTCCACCCACAAAGCACCACAGATTCTTTAGAAACTTACCCCATTTGCACAATAATCTGATTTCAAACATGTTTTACAAGTTCCAAGTGCTGTTATTAATTGAACATCAACATAGCTTGCCAAAAAGCTAACTCCTTTTTCTCAAGAATTTAGCAAATGTAGTCACCTCTCATATTGAGAACTTTTGTATCAAACTGTCACCAAAGGGTTATTTACTTTCATTAGTGTTGATGAAGTGAAAAGGCCCACATCCAAAGCAGAAAGCAATATTGAAAGACCCGGTGCAAAATGAACACATTTTCATCACCACAGCAAGGATAAACATATTAACTTTTAAACACAGGTCTGAGAAATTTTACTATTTCATTAATATATCTCAATAATATTGATATTTATAGCATCTCTTTAAAGCATAAAACTGTACACCAATTATTAATAATAAAACTATTTAACCTAACATTCAAATAGATTTGACTGTGTTGGACAATTAAAGTGTTGTGGCAAGCAGAGAATCTAATTGTCTCTTTGCTTATTTTGGTTACGTCTAAATTCTGCTCGCCAAAATGCCATGAATATCTGAATATTGAGCCCTGAGATAATAGCCATACCAGTAGCAGAAAATAAGAAATGTAAAAATGGCAAGTCATTGCGATGCTGTATGACAAAATTTGTCATCCATGCAGAGGTAAGAAATCGGAAGCACACAAATGTCATCAACACCACTATACGTACTACTCGGTACAACAGACAAGTTTTGCTCACTCCATGAAAATTCAATAATTGTCTTAAATGTAAGAAGACACTGTTGACTTCCATTAAAAGAGAACAAACTGCAAAGGCGATGTACATTTTGCTGAAAACTGCTATTGAAAAGGCCATACATACCTGTAATAAAAGTAGTTATATTTAAGATAATTATATAATTTAAAGAACAATGAAAAGTTACATGCACTACAATAAATCTCTCCCAAAAATGTGAACACCTCACTTATTTAATACCCAACCCACATGTGATTCTCAAGATCCAGAATCAAACAGATACTGCAGCCGGCCATGGTAATTACAGCAGTTGTGTTTGTAATACTCTATTAAAACTCAATTTAACATGAATGTAAACACAAATCTATCTTACCAATACATGGTGTATCAGGAGACTCATGGAATTACTGGCATCGTACATCAGCATATCAAAGAAATCATGGATAAAATAACCTGTAACACAGATGAATCTCATGTAAGTCACCATCCAGGGTTACTAACAAAAAGTATGGAGTACAAGAATAATCATATGCAATACTATTAATGGTATATTACATTTTTATCCTTGAACTCCCACGAGTTTCTGAGAGAGAATTTCTCCTTACAGAAGATAAGTGTTGGGAATAAAGAAATTTATCTATCAGGCCCCAGTAGTTCGAAGCATGGATAAAGCTAACCACTGGATAAATCTCTGTCCCATCGATAGCATAGTAAGTTTTCTAAACTCTTATCTGCTGGATAGCAATTTATCTGTTGGATAGTGCTATCCAGCCTTTATACAACTGGACCCAGAAGATTATTAATTGATGCAATACAAAATTCTTTGAAGCAGCATTTTAAGAATGGGCAGACTGTAAAGATAATTACAGTGAGATCTTGGGAGTGAAAGAGTCAAATGAACTATTAGCTCATATTGATGATGGGAAGTTTATATCAGGACTGCTCGCACTTAACCTGAGCGGAATAACAGGACTTCTAAATTCAAAGGCAGCTAAAATTCTTGAAGTAGTTCAAAACTCAAAATCAGAGGTCACATAAAAAATAAATGAAATCACCTGTCAGCAAGTCAAATTGCACACTGAGCCAGTACAAAAATTTGACACCAAATTTAAGACAGAATGGCAGGACCTGCTTATTATGAAAGTTGAAGTTGCAAAGCAAGAAAATTAAAATGATCACGGTCAGACTTTGTAGAATTGATTTCTTTGTTACCAGTTTAATTTCTTATGATACTTTGATATCTTAGGTGGGCAGAAGGGAAGGGGGGGTCTTCAAGGAAAGGGGGTCCCTACAAACATTGCAAATGTGGAAGATGTGATGAAAAGAAAAGATTAAGAGGTATGTATGGTTCAGATCAATATTCATCCAAAGAATTAGGATATCACATTTTCAGAGGGGAAGTTTAGACTTGACAAAATATAGAAACACAATAAAATGGAAACACTCTATGTGATACCAAATCATACTGTTTTGATCCTGACAAGGCAAGACAATTACCCTTGGGGGCTCAAGAAAGATAGGGGGCTAATGTTATTATGGCATTAAGAGCTGTCATGTGAGTAATCACTTTTCATCTGATTACTTCTGAATACAATAATCAGTGTACATTTCTTAACAATCTTCAAAGTGGAAAATAAAAAAACTTTGGCTTTCAGGTTCGTATATGTCGCTATCTAATTCCAATGGAAAACATCATTATGTTTTAACTAGTTGCATTTGGCCGAGTACATTAATTTTTGGAGTTTTTTGTATATTAGAACGTTAACAGTATAACAGGGGCTACCTAGATTCGATCATCCCTAAGGAACTAGTACAAGAGTTGGCAAATGCTTACGATCTAAGATAAAAGTCTTACATTAGTACATGATGTTGATCTCATGTAAATTACGCAATTTTTTAATTTGAGAGGCGTTGAGGATCGTTGAATCTCGATACATTTGACTTGACCCTTAGCTTGTGTGTGCAGATTTCATTACTTAACTATCTCACCCATATAAGACATACCGGTGCAGAAGGTTACAAGGTAAAAGGCTGTGTTACTCCATGCCGTGAGCATTTTTGTTAACATCACTGGTTCGTCAAAAAAGCTGCAAAGATCACGAACGAAGAGCAATGAATTTCGCCATTGAACAAGGTTGGCATGACATTCTGACATTTTTAGTGGTAAAAGAATTCGAGTGAATGGGTTATGAACTCACCAGTAGACTGATAAGATAGCTGAAATAAAGGAATGTACAAATGACACAGAGATATTTTGATACAACCATGTTTTCCTCGGAGGTGACGATTTCAGTCCAGATGGTGTGGGCGCATAATTTTTCAGAGCATACTGCAATGCTCGAAAACATACAAAAAATCCCAGTATTTCATAGGAGCCACGAGGGAGATTCAGAATGTTCAACATGATGTGAACTCTCTTCAACACTTCACAGGTAGAGGAAGAGTGTCTTGTTGAAGGGAGTATCCTTATTATTATGCAACAATAGAATGCGTGACTAAAGTACATGACATTTACAATGGCTTTGAGATCATGACGTCAGACACAGCCCATATGTCACCATTGGTCAAGTTGAATGGCATGATTTCTTGGAATCACGCTCGGGAGGACAAAGTAGGTGTGTGTACTCGTTTTTTGGCCCTTACGTTCAAAGAAGAATCACAATGACATGACATTTTTTGGAGTAACAGGGTGTCGGGTGAATCTTTTTCAGAACAACTTGGCCATTAGCATGAAAATCAGCCGTCAGGCCCGTCACGGTTCAACAAGGATGCTTGGAGTATCACGCATCAGTCACCTGGTTAACACCGGGCAACGGATGGTTCGAAACAAACTCGGGTTAGAGGATTTCAAACTCGTTCCCATGATCTTCTCTTCCTCTTAATGTGGAATTGCTGCTTAACTTTGAATTCAATATGACGCTACACAGTCATCTGATAATAGCGACTATAACATAAAAGAGAGGTCAAGCGAAAACAACGGAAACTGGTTATATTGGCATTTTCTAGGAAACAAAGGAAGAGTAAACCCAAGTACTGGAGGACGAAAAAGTACTCACCTAAGGTGTAACTAGTTGCAATATCATTTGTCTTTTGTATTGAATACTCTCAATAAACCAGCAGATAATTACCGTATTTACTCGAATAAACACCGCAGCTGAAAGCCAAATGATGAACACCGCCTTCCTATGCCACAACCTATTAGGATAATAAGGGATTTATTCCATCAGGATTATTAGGGAATTATTAAATTAAAACAAAAAGTGCGTTGCGACTCGACCATGTACGTCATCCTAGGAAATTAACACATACAAAAAACGAGACATAAGACATGACTTAGGACAAGTTTCTGTACCACACTACGAATTGAATGATTGTTGTAGATAGATAGATAGATAGATAGATAGATAGATAGATAGATAGATAGATAGATAGATAGATAGATAGATAGATAGATGGATAGATAAATAGAAAGATAGAAGGGTCGTAAAATAAGATAATAAAATAAGATACTGAAAGTATCCAAATAGATAGTTGTAGTGACATTAAATGTCATGATACGAAATATAAGTCATGAATCTCACTTGGCAAACATTTTTAACCTCTCCGAGGAAACTTTCTATTCAAATGAGTAGAGTTGCACTACTGAAAAGTAACTGTCAGTGTTTGACACATTGAGAGTGTACCCGTGTATGTTTACAGCTCGGAAGAAAACATATCGCTACCATGCATCCTGTTGATTTCATAGTGTTTGTTGAGTACTCGTAGGTCAAGTGACTCCTCTCATTCCTCTGATTCGACTGTCTTTTATTCAGTAATCAAGATAGCAGATTTACTGTACAATACTCGTAATAAGTTATTTTACTTTTACTTAGGAAAGAAGATTTACGACACGATTGAGTAATTGGAAGTTTCCTTACAGAGGTAACGCTATGTAACGCAATACACTACAGTGTTGATTCTCATTGCAGAGAGTGTCCATAATTAGCAAAAAAAAAACCCTTTACATTGCGAGGGATAGTAAAATCAACGACCATCCATATCATTTTTTCAAATTGATCGTGTTTCTAATCAACGAAGTTTCACTGACAAGCGATGACAGATACCGCTGGGATTTCTTTAGTTCAGCTCTTCCTCCAAAATCTGCCTACCCCACCCAAGCATTGCGGTGCCTTTGATGTTTACGCTGATTGGAAAAGTGATCTTCAATTGCAAAAGTTAGGGTCGCACCTGGAAATGTCCTTCAACCAGAGATTTAAACCACGAAGTAAACACATTTAGGATAACTATTCCCAAGTAGCACTATTGCCTTCTGCATTTAAAATTGTTCTATCAGTCGCTACAGCTATAATGTGAAAGCAAACAGTGACTAATTTGAGCACAGGCAGGCCACACTATGTGTTCGTGGTCAATAATTCTCTTGACGGCCTCCAGCCAAAAGTAATTTCATAAAATTATTTAGCTTTATTGAGATATTCAGATCGAGATATAATTTAGATATGCAATTTTTAGAGCTTTATTCATAAACCTCACAGATTTTGTTCGTACCATGTGAACAATTATCAACATAGTGTGGTATGCCTGTGATTCGAGCAGTGATCTTCAAACTCTGTCATAGTATGTGTAACCAGGCCTTCTGACGTAATTCCATGGATCTTGTCCTTTTGTTACTCCATTCAACTCGCAACTCCTTGTGGGTAGTGCTGAATCATGCTGTAAGTTAAACGACAGGCACTGGGGATCAGAAAGGCACTTCTCGAAACATTCCCTAACGTCGCTAACCTGATGCTGACTCTGAGTGTGGTTACGTAATGAGTGACCTACATCATTAATAGTAGCCTGAAAGATCCCTGTAAACGGGAAAAAAGGTGCATGGTTTAACACAGAAGGGCCACGCCCTCTAGGAGAGTAAGGAAACTGTCACATGCATGTTAACAGGAGATTATTATCTTTTGATGTTTAGTAAAGGTAGTAACATGATTTCGAGCGGAATTTGGTGTTTATAAGCACTAGCAAATTTGTCTAAGACAGCAAAAATTGCACGAACCCGTAAGACGAAATCTTCAGGAAAGACAAACTTGCACTCGTGTTACGTGAAAAATGCACTCGTCTTTAACAAATCAGAAGCGTGTAATTCTTTCAGGTATGTTATTATGAGGCAAACTGAATTCCATGAACTTGACTGGACTAAGCCTATCCTGATTAGTTTATCTCATCTTTCTTGCCCACGTTTTAATGGTGCAAGTTTTAAGTAATTGTGTGACTGAGTTCGCAATTGCTAAATATAATCAGCGCTCAAACATATAGTAGTCTCCGTAAATTACGACTCAGATTTTGTTAATCCTCGTTAAATTAACCATATTGTTTCAGTACCCAGAGTTTACGAGTCCAATTCAGTCCTCGTAATGAGTTTGCTTGTTATGCAAAGTTTTGCTCTGAAATAGGCACCTCACACTTTCAATCACCGACAGATGCATTACTCGCACGAGTGCCACTGTCTTTTGCCTTTGTTTTCATTAACCCTTATCAGTAAATTTAACACACGTACCCTCAGACAACACCTCTGTCATTACTGGAGCCAAATCAGATAATTTCCGCCGGCAAAAAAGCCTCACATGATCTTCCTCTACTGTAGAAATCCATAATGCGTCCTCACTGATACCCGGGATCTTTCCCCAGAGACTATCTTCTCGTTTTGTATGGATTGCAAAGGCCTGAGGCCAATGGCTGACATCCGCTGTCTTGCGCCAAAATAGGATCTGAGCCGACTCGCCTCTTTTCAGACCAATACATTTCCATCGTGTGTCGGTAACTAGGCCGTTGCTTACACTTCCTATAAGCCACGGTTTCTCGTGATAATTTCGACATCTCACGGCCAAGTGGCTTGTTTTTGATTTAACAGTGACATTTACTACATTGTTTTCCCGTGTGCTGTTTTGAGTACGAGTCTTATAATCACCGAAGGTGAACACAGTCAGCTCTCCTTTGCAAGCAAAATTTGCTTCGAGCGATTCGCTCGTTTTCCCTGAAATACAAACACAAGTTATCATATACACAATGACGTTCCGTCACTGAATTTCAAGTGATCATGGAGCCGGCAGTGAAAATCTCGGTGATTTTGTCCAAGTACATTCTCCTTATTAGATTTGCATACTTGGTTTTTTAATTCATTCTTTACCGGACAAATAATTAGTCTTTATGTAAACATTTAATTACATTTTTCTACGTTAGGCAGCTTTTTTTTTTAACCATGGGGATATAACGGTTCTTACACCATTGCACCTGCTATTAAGGGATGTGACATAAAAATCCTAATTTTAGTTGTCCACGATATTTTAACAATACACGATCGGAAGGAAACGAGATGGTATTCATATAACGGTACCTAGATCTATGTGGTGCCTACTCTAACTTGTGATAAATTCATATAGTTCTGGGAATACCGAGAAACAGCGTTCGAGATTTACAAAGTGAGTTTACTTTGAATCAAGTGCAAAGAGCTTAGGCAGAACTACCACTACTACAGCTGGTAAAAAAAAAAAAGTGCCTTCAGTTAAAGGCAAGCCTCGACATGCAGCCTGTTCAACACAACATGAACATCGAAGTTGGCAGGGCGCAATGTAAATATTTATATTGACACCGTTCTTGCATGTAAGGGTTCTCGTTAGCTCTGGTTTTCTCATAACATTTTTCATTCTGAGTTAAGTACAACACGGACGAAAGAAGCCGAAAATCAGTTGAAATACAAAAATATGTCTGCGATCCACGATCGCTTTTGGGATGCAATGGGGAAGAACTTAATTAAACACATCCACAGGAAAATCATTTCTCACAGGATTTGCTAATTTCAAATACGTTTTACATAGCATCTTTCGATCTCGTTTGTATTCACCTTCAGCTTTGCCGGATAACTTGCCGTACTTGAACATTCATGATTCAAATAATTTGCTTCTATCACAGAAATAAATTTTGTCACGGTTACTGGCTTGTTAGTTCCTTAATTGTAACTCACCTTTGCAAAACGGAATATTGAACAGAAGATAAAATGGAAAAAATATCATGTCTTCGAAAAAAGAAAAACGTTTTTGATCACTTAGCAGGCCACGAGAATCTGTTTCAGGCTGACTTTCACTGAGTAAGTTGTCGCTTTATGTATACCTAAAGGCTGTTGTAACAGTTGTGTTTATTTTTGTTTTTACCATGAGAGTGCACTTTGATTGAAAGGAAACACCATGGACAAAGAGAACTGGAGACATTTATCTATACGAAACAATGTGCAATTAACGTTAGAATTCAAAGTTAAGCAAACAGTCGAATCGTGGTGATGCCACAGAGATAAAACACTCATGAATAAGAATACTTTCCACAACTAATATCCAATTTTAATTTAATGTTGTGTGTCAATTCTCATTTTATAAAAGATATGGAAATAGAAGTTTCCATTACGATAAGATTATCTCTTCATTCGTTACGCACCCTGTGATTGGTTATTCTTTGAGGACCGCACACTTCTGTGCAGCGTGCTAAATTTTAAAATTTGGTGCTGAATTACGGGTTACTTATCTCCAATTGTTCTCGATTTTCGACAGCGAATAAAAGATAATTTTTTATATTGTTTCCTTTCTTTTCCGTAATAATACTAAAACATGAAAAATGCTGAGTAACGTTTCTGAATTGTCATATGGATTCTGCTGTAATGCGTTATTAGAAATCGCTTCCGAATCCTGTTAATTAAGGATATTTGTTATTCCTCGAGGTTCTTTGATTTTTGTACCGTAAGGTATGCTACATATCCGTGTTTTCGAGGAGAGAAAAACAAAGTTGGTTCGTAACCTCCACAATGGCCCTGGAACCCGTTGATCACTATTTTGTGGTATTAGACAAATTTCGAAAATCGCAATTGCAGAAAATATTACATTATGCATTATTGATGAACCTTGTTTTTAAATTTGACCTCGGATGTCAGAAAAGGTCGCATTATCATAATTACAGACGTCCTCGTACATTTCTCCTCTTTTTTAATTTGATTTGTGGGTTTTTTAAATTATAAACAAATTGTAAACTAGGCAGGCTATTTTTGAACGGATAACTTTTTAGGATGCCAACGTGTTTGTTTCAGGACGAAAAGAGAAGTTCATGATTACCGGACGTAAACAATAGAGAGCTCCTCAGTGCTTTTTCTTCCTTACGGCAAAACTTATCACCTTTTGAATTTTGTGGGAACCAATTCACGCTCATTTTCATGAGAGCAAGCTTTTAGTAATAGGAGACAATGATTAGGGAAATAGCGAATGAGTATGTCAATTTATATTACTTGCTCTGAAAACGAAAAGCCATTCATCCTGGAATTGTAAATTCTATGACTGATTTAATTAAATTGTGCAACATCAGGGTTTTGCTAAACATCCTGAAAATCGCTGCTTCGTAATCATCACCCTCGCAGAAAAAAAATTGTCAATTAGCTGCTTTAAATCATTCATTTGTTTTAATTTCTAATTTCATTTATCAACATTTTATCTATTTACTTCACGTATCCTTTGTATCGAACGTAAAAAAAAGTATCTCGGTGAAGAGCTCAATACTCCAAAGCTCTTTTAGGTGACTGTATATGAAATAGAGTGACGGATATTTTGTAGTCCCTAGTGCCCGCAGTGCACCCATGGTAGTCCCCCATGATGCAACACTGCATTATGTTTACCGTGTTTTTGTTTTTTCAGTTCCTGGCTGTGATCTCTTCCTACAAACTAAACAAATCAACAACGACATTACCTTTTCTGTATCTCTTAGACAGCGGAACTGTGATTATGTTATGACAAATTTCAACCAGCATTTGTTACTGGTAGGTGAATGGTATTTCAGCCAAATAGCTGATTTAAGTGTTCGTGTAATTATAATCATGCTCTGAAACCGGAACATCATTGGATGTTATTCAAAATCAAAGATTTCATCTGAATGGCGAAATTCAAACTCTGTCATAGTATGTGTAACCAGGTCTCCTGACGTAATTCCGTGGATCTTGTTCTTTTGTGACTCCAATCAACTCGCAACTCCTTGTGGCTAGTACTAAATCATGCTCAAAGTTGAACGAAAGGCACCGGGAATCAACCAAGCACCTCTCGAAACAGCCCATAACATCACTAACCTGATGTTGACTCTGAATGTGGTTACGTAAAGAGTAGCCTTCGTCATCAATTGTAGCCTGAAAGATCCCTGTTAAGATTAACAGAGTTCTGTGGTTGATATTGGACGGCCCTTTGGTGTTCAATATAGATCCCGCCGAAACCCAAGCATAAACTATCCTCTCTAACTTTAAAATGTTGTACAATGCACCACTGTTTCAGCAGTATGTAGGGGTATTTAGAAACCTTTTTTGCTGCCTACCCCCCCTCCTCAAAAGGGTTTTATTTTATGGGATGCCTATTTTCAACCCCTATATTGATCAGAAATAATTGCATTTATCGCTGCTACTCAATTATACTTCGATAATGATAATATAATACTACTAGAACTTCGATGATTCGCCAGGTAAATCTTTTCGGTATCCTCTATCTACATGAATTAGCGGTGGCTAGAGGTTTTAGCAAGTTTCATAACTGTATAATACTCTTGGTGCTGTTGTCCAAACCGTTGTTATTTTAAAGTAAGTTCGTTCGATCACCTTTACAATTACCTTCAGCCCACTAAGAGGAATCTGGATCTTTAACATTGTAGCGTGAATATACGCTGAAAATTGGAAGATTTGTGGATTTGACGTATTTCCAGATACTACTAACCTTTGGACATTGGAATAACAAAAAGCAACAGCCGGAAACAATAGCTTATTAACTTGTCAAGACTCTATCCACTTCAACTTGTTTCTGTATTAGGTTTATTATAATAATCAGATATTGCATTCTAGTGTTGTGCTTTGTTTCATCCGCCCTGTGAAAGGCCGGTGTGACATATTAAAGCGACAGCCGGAAACAATAGAACTTAGACCTGATAATTAATCATTGCGAAAGATCAACAGAACTGGTACAAACGAATGAGATTCTTCTTGGAAATAATTTTAACAGAGTTTTGTTACAACTGACTTTTGAATGGAGCAGCAGTCATCTTTAGTACAACTAGACGTTTCATTAAAAGTCTTGTATTTGTAGAAATTTCCTCGTCAGCTTTCTGTCGGTCCACTTGAACCGTTTCTATTAATGTAAATTTCTCCTCTCACCTCAGTCAGTTTTCGTCGACAATGTGGGAAAGGTGATGAAGCAAAGAGCGTTCGGTTTAATATGAGGCGGGACAAATTGTTCGTGGTATAGGCAATAAAACCTGGTAACTGCATGGATTTTTTTTCTGAAGAACGCTAAGCTTGACATCTCGTTAAAAGCCTTTTTTCAATATCTAATTTCCGGCTTGACGATTACGTGTCAAATATGAAAATGAATTTTAGATGAAAACTGTTTGTGCTCCCACTCTGGTAACGGTTTCAATGGGATGTTGGCTTTTACAGCTAATAGTTAAAATTTTGGCCAATCTACGGCCGACGGTTAATATCTTTCCATTGTTGCCACAGGAAATTGTTTGTTACGGTTACCATTTTTTATATCCAACTGTTAAAACTTGTCTATTTCTACGCCCAACTGCTTAATTTTTTGGCTGTTTTACGGCAACGGTGCATTCAAATGCTTTTTAATTAGCTCTTGAAACCTACATGTGTAATCAAATTTTTAAAAAAATCCACTTACCCTCTCGCACGCGCTTTAGGGTATTGGCAGTAACTAAGCCGACCACGAGTTTTGAATTTAGCTTCCTGCCCCACCCCCCAACAAGCACTTGAGTAACTAGAGTATATTTGCGATTAACTAACAGGCGTCTCGTTAGTGCGAGTTTAAGCTAAAAGCTCGCGATCGTTTGTTCGACCGGCCATTTTTTATTTGCAATTAGAGTGGACGGTGGGGGTAGGGGGGCGGGGGAGGGGAGAAAAAACGTAAGTAATCTTCACTCCCATACCCCTACCCCTCTCCTTGTTTTTGACCGTCGACCGCCCCCTTGGTATCAATTTTCCTCTCCCCAGCCTTCCGCTGCCATTAAAATCAAAGATGGCGGCCATAATATTCGTTATGAAATTACTTAGCACTGGTTAGCCTAAATTACGGCTACCCTGCTGGTCCCTTCCTTTATTCCTTCTATTCCTTTTATCATGTAGTTGCCTGCTTTTTTTCCTCGCTTTCGCCCGAAGTGTTTCCACCATGTCCGCAGGCTGAAGTGAATTAGAATGATTTAATATCACCTGAATTGCTCATGTAAAATTATTCTAAATAAGTTTGCTCAGCAATACACTCAACATTATTTCTAGATTAAACAAAAACAGTAAATCCAAAAAGACATGCATGGAAAGTCGATTATTTTTGTCGAGAAAATAAACAAAAGCACATTTCTCAATTTCAACCGTGTTCTAAATATATCTAAGTGCCAAGAATATTAAAATAATACAGATAGGCGCTCGATCTCCAAACAAACTTCAAAACCAAAACACAAAATCCCTGTACACATCCTGTCCGTAAAGAACTTAAAACATCTGCATGGTCAGTAAGACTCAAAAAGTGAAAATCAGCATGTTGCCATAATAATTACGATTTTTTACATGTTTTGACAGTTGCCAACAAGTTTTGACAAGTAACCCTTAAATACAAATGCTTCCGTAAATGTATGCAAATGAACTGCATTCCTGAGATCTTTTGTGAGGAAAAGAAAACCGCGTGGATTTTTGTCAAAATTCGACTCCGCGCGACTTGTTCAGCTTTTTCCACTTTAATTAATACCGCTGTCAGTCTTTCAGGAAATCCGTTCAGGATAACGGCAGTAGAAGAACCACGTAATCTCATTAGCACACCTATCAGTAGAGTGGTCTGACTTTGAAGTTCATTTATCAAAATTCTAAGTAAATGGTCGAAAATAGGTCAATGCAAGAGTTTGTGGCCGAATTTCGTTCGACCCGGATTTAACTGTTAAATTGCGCCTCAACGAGAAGCCTAATATTATTTCCGGACTAAAAAGAGGAAACTGCAAAGCAATATGTGGTAAGTTGATTATCCGTGAAATCTTTGCCATGATCAAACAAACACTCCATTCTTTAAAGATTCCACTGCGGTCAGATATTTGGCGAAATTACTTCCTAATAGTAATCATAACTGATCAAATGAAATGTCATTTCACCTGAGTTCTGTCAAAACTTCCTGTTTATCTTATGACAAGAACTCCACCAGACAAGGAAAGCCTATTAAAAAAATACGCCTCACCTGGTTATTAAATGCTTCAGTAATGAATCGTAGGTTATTCTTATGCCAATTAGCTTTTGTGGTTAGCCTGTTGCGACTGTTATTGTACGACAGAAAGGGACTTTCTCTTCTCAAGTGCAATTTCTAGAAATTTATTAGAATTGCATGATCGACAAAAGGGCGATGAAAATGATGTTTCCTTCAGAACAAAGGACTATCTTTTTAACATAATTGACGTTCATATCTATAGTTGCAGAAAGAGTCCGAATCGCACATTTAATTGAACTTCAAGTGATTATTACTGCTCGCAGAAGTGCTGAAATTTACTCCATCTTAAAATCGTGGATCGTCGCGCGCTTTTCTGAAAACCAGAAAAACGACTAACATAGCTGAAATTATCATCAATGAAATCCAGAAAAACGACTCACATAGCTGAGATTATCATCCGCAAAAGTGTTTGGGTTTTTTGTCGTGCAACAGGGCTGAACATAAAATAAGCCATCCATCTCATTCTGCATCCATCCTAAGTCTTTTCTTAGCTGTGTACCTCACCTTGTGTAAGCCGATGAAAGTAGTTAAATTTGTATAAATTTCACTTTCTCGAATGCATTCAGAGAGTACTTCCGTTTTTGTTCACAAAAATATGCGTTTATTTTGATTACATATCTTTTTTCCGACTAATTCAAAGAGTCATCTTCAAATAATATCAAACTGATAAAGGTGAGGCTGTAAATAAAAATTAACCGCGTTATCGGTAAATTATGCCTACAGGAAGTCAAATGACACCAAGGAATGACTCAAACAAACTCCCAAATCTCCGTGGAATCAAGATTCATCCATTCAAATGGTAATAAGTCTCTGTCAGCTTTAATGTCAAACATGGCGCCACTTGACCATAGTTCATTATTCATTCTTCATGACACATTTTCTGCACTCTATTTTCATTTAAATTACGCTCATTTCTTGATTTTGAGCCCAGAATAAACCTTACGTTATGTCTCGTTTATCTCACACGAAATTGCTGATCTGCCAAAAAGATAAAATATATACATAATATATACACGTAACCAAAGCAAAAGGGCAAAATATTATCTCGTGATACCACCCACCGTAGCTTTACAAACTTTCTTCTTTATTCATGCTTATTAAGTTGCGTGATGGGTGCGCCAATCACATTAAGTAACAAATATGAAAAAGAGAAAAGATAAACACCGAGAAAATGTCATGTTCTGTTCATCGGAAAAACCAACAAGTGAACAAACAAAGCCAAGTCCTTCAATTGCATTGATGTTTAAACTACTGACAACTCTTTGCTTTTATCTTTTTGTTACTCGACCGCCCGTCAGTCAGGAGTGTATTGGAGAGTAAAGCCAAGAGCCTTTTGAGACAGATAATTAGAGCGTCAAATCTTATCAATGATTCTCGTCTTTGAGGTACACCCTTCCACTGCAGATAAAAAAAATAAAATAGAACATCCGTGGCACGCCTTTAAGTAGATGGAGAGAAAAATCTTCGTTGTTGCCGTTAATCGTATCAAAAATTGAACGGATCAAGAACCTCATTAATTTTCAATTAAAGTGACTTCAAGTTCGAAATTCTCCAAACGTTAAGACCTTAAAAAATTATCATAGCCTGTTGCAAGTAAAGTAAATTTTGTTCTTGTCAGTCCTCTAACTTTCATGACCTTTCTGGTCTCGATAAAGATAGAAGCCCTCTATAGATGGATCCTTTCAAGCTCTGCCCATTTGAAGTTAGTTGGTTAAATCCTGTCAACGCAGGATACGTTGTAAGATACAAAGAAGCTTTTTAAAAACACATTGCCCAGCAAATCTCATCCCCTTGCATCCGTACCTCCAATGTTTTTTTTTTTGTCATTACTTAAAAAAAATCCAAAGAGAATAATTCTTGTGAGTCACCAAGGCCCATCAATATATCACCTTAAGCCCTCTCGGCTTTTGAATGCTGAATAGTTTCCCAAAGGCATTCGGATTTTATTCAGCAGATTACGACTTCACGTAACCGACTAAAGAGCTAATGGAGATCTCCTCGTAGCAAGCATTTCTTAGGAAGTCATAGATATGTCCTCATTTCCGAGTTTCAATTATTAATAACGCTGAAAGTTTTGATTTTTATGTTTCTACTATACGACCGTTTATAATGATATCACTGAGCTCGTATCTCTATCTCTTAAGTTTAAAACATGCAGCTCAGTTTGAAGTTTAATCGAACCAACATCAAAAACATCTGTTGGTATTGTGTAAACCAGCTTTCGAAATATGTCATTAGGCACAGGACGAGAAACAAGGGAACATTGACTTCTATTAAAATCTGGCGCCAAGACTAAAAATTAGATCACAGCTATATTTCTGCTCTCCTGTCCCTTTTAGAAAATAGAGGAGCATTTAGGTAGCTCAAAACAAGTCCTATGAAAATTCAGGGAGAAAAAATCCGATGAAGTTTTGATAATAACTGCATATCATTTTCAAGAGAAATAAAATACTTTTCTTTAATTATGGAGAATGCGGAATACGCGTCTGTGAATGAAAAAACAGTGTTGATGTTAATTGCAGGTGTTTAATGACAATAATTTCTATGACCATGGATTGAACGTGATGTTATTGAGGAAACAAGTGAGAGAGGGCCTATGGAAATACCTTTATCTTAAGCTAAACCTTTTAAAAGGGGGGGTGATTACAAATAGACGAGTCGATAAATTGGACAGGGGTGAAAATTCAAGGTGAAACCCCATACCTAATATAGAACTTAACTGCCCCATGTGAGAGAAGCAAATGATTCGCTAGTTATATGCTGCCTGTATGAGGTCCTCACTAAGAAAAAAACTTAATGCCAAAATATTCTCGCAGCGTGCTGTGTGCAAGTTAATTTAACCCGACAAAACAATAACTCGTTCATTGCACGGTGTTGAAATTTCCCGCAGTTAATTGCATTTATACAAAAGGATGTAGGCTATGATCACGCGATGATTTTGTTCATAAGTGTCGTTGGACTGATATCAGTTCGGATGACTTTAAATATACTTATTTTGCGTCGATCGTGTTTGGTAATACATTTATAAGGCTATCTAAATGCCTCTCAGTCATAAGCTTTGACTTTGTGTTCTACCGCCTTCACTGAACACACAGCGAGATAAGTATTCTGAACTGCCCCCGAAAGTGAAACATCACACAAATATATGCAGAAAACTATTAAGCATGCTATTTACTGCTATTTTTACGTGCCCTAAATTAGTGAGTTAGTGCTACAAACGCGACAAAACATCGCGTAACAAGTCAGTTTACTTATTCTTGACTTGTGGTATTGGAGGAAGGACACCCATATGCAAATGACTGCTAACTGCTGCTGCTCTCTCCTCGGCTCTGATCCAAATAATCTCGTGACGGCTTCCTTGACTTTGAAGGGTGGCTCCCAATGGCAATAGGGCCGCCCCTGTGGTGAGAGCCATAGTGGAGCTCAAAGTTGGACAAAGTGACTGGCTGCTGCCTTGTAATATTTTACTTTTGACGGATGGTGAAGATATTTTTCTGTTTGGTTTTCCGGCCCTTTCGTATTTGCCTGAGGGGAGGAGTGGCAAAGACAGGCTATGCGAGGACTTTAAGCTCAGGTGTGTGCCAAGATTTTCTGCCGATATTGGTAAGTGCTTTGAGGCAGGCGGAGTAACCTCTCTTCTGTCGCCATTTTCCACAGGATACTTCCAGGAAGGTAATATTCTGAAATGATCCGGACTGGGATGAATGTTTGACTGTGAGTCGGGCCGAGGCGGTGGATGAAATACTCCATTTTGGATTGCATATTGTAATCGTTCCCAGTACATCTCCGCCGTTCTCTTAATTTCTTCCTGGCTTAAGTCACGGTCTGGAAACAGAGGAAAAGGATAAGATAATCAAGTCACGACATGAGTTGTTTTTTAATTAGTATTATCATGTATTGTTGTAGTTGTATTCGTGACTAGGTGCAGGGTTGGATTCGCCCAATGCATTCATAGTTATACTTATTTAAATCGTGAGTGAAAATTTCTCGTTAAATTATATATCGTGAAGTGCATTGTATGTTTCTTAAAGTCACTCTAAATTCAAGTGCACTGTGGGAACTCTCTGAAAAGAGCACAGCTTTTAAACACCCCGCCGCCCGCCCGGTAAGCTATTACTGCATAATTTTGTCGAGGGAAACCATGTTCCCTTGCCTCTTGCTACCAGAGCACATTCATCTAATAAGTCAAATGTAGAATTGTTTGGCGTTCTAGTGCAGATGCTGCCATCTGATTGGTTATAGACAGACAATGACAATGAGTCATAAGCCTGTTATGTTGGTAAGTTTTGAACTACTTATAGATCAGTTTACACTAAACGATTTGAATGTTCGCTTTCGCTTTTTGAGCATCATGGCTGATCATCAAATATCTCGCGGTAGAAATCTTAAACTCATAATCTGCTTTTTGTAAAGATATGATAATAAACTGGGCTAATATCATACCATCATAAAAATTGATCTTCCTCGAGGTATCTATTGTCTCCTGCCAAGGGTCACTCAAAAGAGGACTGTGTCGTCGGGGACCCCTACCCTCCCCTCCCAAGACAGCAAACACTTGGTCGTCTTCTAACACTTTATTGACGAACGAGCTTATAACTGCAGCTACGTAAGGCTCCCAGGACCGGTCGCCATGACAACGCGGGGTTCCCGTGACACTGACGATTGAAATCCATTCTTTTCGCAGGCCCTTGATGCATTCTGAAACATCTTAAGTGTACAAAGATAGATTCAGAGAAACAGACTGCACAAAACTTTTGTCGTCGGCACATATCTAGTACACTAGAGAGGCAACAGAATATTCTCCCGTAGGAGAGGTCAAATTTTTCCCGACCGTCTGCAGCCGTTTGTACTTTAAAGTGAAGGCATGTGAATTTAATTTGAACAAAAAGACTTTTCAACTAGTTTAATGTTGATATTGAGGATTAGTGGGTGTGAGCAAATCAGAATAGAGTTCTTTGTTTTTCCGTTTGCCGTCGCCAAACATCATATCCTGCCTAAACTCATTATTAATGCTTCATACACTTCCAATTGTCTAAGTTGTTCAAGTTCAGGAAAGTCCAAAGATCATATGGATTAAAGGCAATATAAATATTAACCCCTATTTCTCTATTTTGTTCCTCAACAAAAGGGCCTGCACAACTTGTTAACGCTGAACTTTCAAAACACACAGTTCTACTAATTAATTTACGACCCTTTCCGGCAACGCTGAGTTAAGAAAAGAAGGGAAAAACAATAGCATCCACGCACGAGTACATGTCTCAAAAGATCCTACTCACCCAAACTTGAAGTCTTGACAGCAACTGCGCTGGCTTTCTCGTTTTTGGCAAAATCTCCCATCTGCAGGATTTTTCCAACATGGACAGCTTGTTCACGATATTTTGGAGGAGTCCAGCCATACTTACCGTTTTCAAACACACTGATTAAATACTCACTGCAGCCATAACTTTCAAGTTTTTCTTGTTTTGTGTCCCTTCGTAAAACTGCTTCTGCGACTATTATGTCACCGATTTCATGAGGTCTGATCACAAGAGATTTGGCAAACCCCAAAAAGATACCAGCCCTTGGTTTGAGCTTCTTGATGGTCAGAACAACTGCTCCAGGGCCCCGACATTTGAGCAAGAAGACCTGCCGAGAGCCGATTTTCCCTGTGTAAACGTAGCCAGCGTCGCCAATCAGAACAGCTTTCAGCTCTTTCAAGACGTTTGCCATCGCCAGAAATATCTGCTCGTTTTCAGCTATTATCAGGGCGTTGGCAGGGACGTAAATTTGATCAAACTCAACTTTCTCATACGAGAGATTCTGCGGCAGTGGGATGTCTACTGACGGAGGTCTGCAAGGCAAACCCGTCATGGTGATCTTTCTCTATAGAACCTGTTGACAAAAATGAAACGAATGATCCTCTTGCCGAAAAATATCGGAACAATTCACGAAAACCTTGACATGATTAAAAGAAAAAAAAGGTAACGGGAATCACGTTTAATTTAAAGGAGGACTTAAAGGAAAGAATGGTTAAATATTTCGATTGCTATCTTTCAGGATTTAAGTTTCACTGTTCCGCCCTGTAGGTCCCTTCCTTTATTCCTTTTATCATGTAGTTGTTTGATTTTTTTTCTCGCTTTCGCCCGAAGTGTTCCCCCCGCGGGCTGAAGTCAAATTGAATAATGTAATATCACCTGACCGATTGCTCTTGTAAAATTATTCTTACAAAGTTTGCTCAGCAATACATTCAATATCACCTCTGGGTTGAACAAAAACCGTAAATCTAAAAAGACATGCATGGAAAGTCGATTATTTTAGCCAAGAAAATAAACAAAAGCACAATTCTCAATTCCAACCGCGTTCTTAATATATCTTATTGCTAAGAATATCGAAATAATACATATGGTGCTCGATCTCTCAAATAAACCTCAAAATCACACAATCCCTCAATAAACACACAATCCCTGTACGCATCTTGTCCGTAAAGAACTGAAAACATCTGCATGGTCAGTAAGACTCAAAAAGTGAAAATCAGCATGTTGCCATAATAATTACGATTTTTTACATGTTTTGACAGATGCCAACAAGTTCTGACGAGTAACCTTAAAATACAAATGCTTCCTTAAATGTATGCAAATGAGCTGCATTCCTGAGATCTTTTGTGAGAAAAAGAAAACCGCGTGAATTTTTGTCCAAATTCGACTCTGCGCGACTTGTTCAGCTTTTTCCACTTTAATTAAAACCGCTGTCAGTCTTTCAGGAAATCCGTTCAGGAAATCCGTTCAGGATAACGGCAGTAGAAGAACCACGTAATCCATTAGTACATCTATCAGTAAAGTCGTCTGACTTCGCGGTTCATTTATCAAAATTCTAAGTAAATGGTCGAAAATAGGTTAAAGCAGAGATTGTGGCCGAATTTTATTCGACCGTGATTTAACTGTTAAATTGCGCCTCAACGAGAAGCCTATATTATTTCCGGACAGAGAAAACTGCAAAGCAATGTGTGATAAGTTGATTATCCGTGAAATCTTCGCCATGATCAAACAAACACTCAATTCTTTTAAGATTCCACTGCGGTCATATATTTGGCGAACTTACTTCTTAATAGTAATCATTACTAATCAAATGAAATGTCAATTCACCTGAGTTCTGTCAAAACCTCCACCTCCTGACAAGCACTCCACCTCCTGACAAGCACTCCACCAGACAAGGAAGACTTATGAAAACAGACGCCTCACCCGGTTATTACATACGTCAATGATGAATCATACGGTTATTCTTATGCCAATTAGCTTTTGCGGTTACTCTGTTACGACTGTTATTGTACGACAGAGAGGGTCTTTCCCTTCCAAAGTGCAATTTTTAGAACTTCAATAAAACCGCATGATTGACAAAAGGGCGATGAAAATGATGTTTTCTTCATAATAAAAGACCATCTTGTTAACATAATTGACATTCATATCTACAGTCGCAGAAAGAGTCCGGATCGCACATTTAATCGAGCTTAAATTCAGGTAATTATTACTAGTCGCAAAAGTGCTGAAATCTATAATTCATTTTAAAATCGTGGATCGTCGCGCGCTTTCCTGAAAACCAGAAAAACGACTAACATAGCCGAGATTATCATTCGCAAAAGTGTTTGGGTTTTTTGTCGTACAACAGGGTTGAGCATAAATTAAGCCATCTCCCTCATTCTGCATCCATACTAAGTCTTTCCTTAGCTGTGTACCTCACCTTGTACAAGCCGTTGAAAGTAGCTAAATTTGTATAAATTTCACTTTCTCGAATGCATTCAGAGAGTACTTCCGGTTTTGTACACAAAAATATGCGTTTATTTTGATCACATATCTTTCTTCCGACTAATTCAAAGAGCTATTTGAAATAATATCAAACTGATAAGGGTGGGGCTATAAATATAATGTAACCCTATTTCCGGTAAATTATGCCTACAGGAAGAGTCAAACAAACTCCCAAATCCCATGGAATCAAGATTGACCCATTCAAATGGTAATAAGTCTCTGTCAGCTTTAATGTTAAACATGGCGCCACTTGACCATAGTTCATTATTCATTCTTCATGACACATTTTCTGCACTCTATTTTCATTTAAATTACGCTCATTTCTTGATTTTGAGCCTAGAATAAACCTTACGTTATGTCTAGTTTTTATCACGCGCAATTGCTGATCTGCCAAAAAGATAAAATATATACATAATATATACACGTAACCAAAGCAAAAGGGCAAAATACTATCTCGTGATACCACCTGAAACTGCAATAAGCGTGTAAGTCTCCTGGCCTTTAATAACAACACCACAAACCAAGTTCGAATGAAGATTTATTGTAGCCGACGTGCTTGGTACTAAGAGTGTGCATACAAACAGCGTGGATTGAAACTAAAACGGTAAAAAAGCAAAAAAGTTACAAGTTGCGACTAAGGTAAATTAGAGTAAGGAAATAACAAAACTGCAAAACGAGGACTGTGAAGTACACTTACATTGTTTCGGCCAGAGAAAACTGCTGTAAAGCGGACTGCGAATAACGCGAAGAGACTTGCAAGAAACTAAACAGAACTGCGCTAAGTGCGGACCAAAATGAACTGCCCAAAACTGTACTGCAAAACTACGATATGAAAAATACGCTAGAACATGCGGAAAATAAAACTATAGAAACTTAGAAAGGCGCTAATGAAGACGAAACAGCACAGAAACGCTAACGAGGGCGCGAAAACTGACAGAAAGGAATAAACACTTAAATTAACGCCAAAAAAAAGACTAAACAAATGGACGAAAAGAAGTATAAACTAATTTGCGTACGCAAAGGAAAAACAAATTACGCAAGAACGAATAATAGAAAAAATGTTACACTTGGATCTTACACCACCCACCGTAGCTTTACAAACTTACTCCTTTATTCATGCTTATTAAGTTGCGTGATGGGTGCGCCAATCACATTAAGTAACAAATATGAAAAAGAGAAAAGATAAACACCGAGAAAATGTCAATTTAATGAACACACAAGAGAGATGTTGTCAGATTAAATAAGACCTGTCTGACTGTTCATCGGAAAAACCAACAAGAGAACAAACAAAGCCAAGTCCTTCAATTGTATTGATGTTTAAACTACTGATAACTCTTCTCTTTTCCTTTTTATTTCGGTAAAAATATCAACTGTCACTGATTAAAAGTCTCATAATCTTTTGCTGTTCAGAAAACTATTAGTATTTTCTTTAAGACAACAAAATTACCACTCATTTCATTATCAATTGCTGCAGTGCTCCTAATGATCTGTTATGAGGGAAAACAGGCCATTTAAAACCTCTCAAAATATCCATTCTCGACCTCATATATGGTACAAGTTTTTCACCTTTGGTAAAGTGCTCCTTCTCTTCATTTTACGACACATTGTTGTATCAGAATTCTCTCTGCAGCTGATCATTTTGAGGATGAGTATTTGGTTGTGTTGGTATACACCCTCACAGGATATTCCATATTTTCTTCTAGAGCTCTTCTGACTGTTGGAAAGAGCCACAAAACATTACTACAAGTGAAAGTGTAGTGAGTATGCACCCACACAAACCAAACTGTCTTGCATGAATTCGGGAATTAGGTGCAATTGTCAGAAGCTGGGGGAACTGGAGGGGAGGGGGACAACAGACAAGACACCCCCCCTCCCCCCAATTAGACAATCTAGTACCCAATAGTATCTGTGCCTATCTTTGCTATCTCTGGAATTTATGTAAATTCATAAAAATCTGTTTAAAGGAGAAATTCCCAACCATATGGAAGGCATTATTGAGTTCTAGCAGTGATGTTTCAAGTCTCTTGAAAAAACCATAAAAAATACACTAGATTAATCATCAAAAACGTAGTTTATCATAATCAAAAATTGCTTTTTCTTCAATTTTTCCCAGATTACTTAAAAGCAGACTCATACCATGCTCTCAATTCAGATTGCATCTACACTTCCACAAAGACCTTACATATTTCAGAGTCCACTCTGTATGGCAAGTAAGTTCCAATGTTTAAACTGTTACTCAGCCGCCCATCAGTTTGCAGTGTCTTGGAGAGCAAAGCTGAGAGCCTTTTGAGACAGATAGCAAGAGCGTCAAAATTCATCAATGATGAAGATTCTCGTCTTTGAGGAGCACCCTTCCACTGCAGATAAAAAAGTAAAAGCTAACATCCATGACACTCCTTTAAGTAGATGGAGAGAAAAACCTTCATTGTTTCTGTTAATCAAATCAAAAATTGAACAAGAGAGAGACAAGAACATCATCAGTGTTTCAATTGAAGTAACTTCAAGTTAGAAATTCTCCAAACGCTAAGGCCTTAAAAATGTAGCCTGTTGCCATTGGGGTTATTTAAAAAATTATCATAGCCTGTTGCTATTGGGGTTATTTTTGTTCTTAAATCAGAAAGCACAATTTCATCCAACAAAAAATATATTCTAAGTCTAGACCAGTTCTTGGTATTTGTTCTTTATTTTATTTCAGTTCTGAATATACTTTTATGATGTAAGCAAAAAAGAATATAAAAGCAAAACTGAATGAAGGTGTATTTGAAGAAAGCCAATAAAAGTTGTCTCTCATGCCGCAGTGTGAGCCAATGGGCTTGCATACATCAAACAATCACATTGAGAAGCTATGATCTGATGATTTCAAGAGTAATTGTTACATACCTTATGCACTACATATAAATTGACTATTATTTTTTCAGATGATGCACTAGAGGTCCAGGAAAAATGCCCCATTTTCCGTCTCTCATTATAGGGTGTCTTTTTGTCCACTAGTCTGGCTTCTGGAAAGTTTTTGAATAGTTGACGAGCCACAACTAAAATGTAAGTGAAAGTTAGTTTACAATAATAAAAAGACAACAACAACTGCCAGCTGCAGTGAGTTTTGATCAAAGTTCAAATATAATTTAGATTGCTTGCATGCAATTTAGAGCACTGAAAATGCATGTTATAACAAAATATGTTGACATGTTTTTTTTTTTTAATAAAAGTTACATATAATCAGGTGGGATGCTGTGCAGGCAGTCACAAAAGCACAGGATCACATCACACTCAAGGAGACTGTCAATACTTTCACTAACTGTAAACAATAAATCATGATAGATGTCAGCACAAAAATTGTGTATACATCTAAAATTAGATAGACTGATATGACACAAGGGCATATTCAGATGTTAAATATAATTTGACTAAATAGGTTTGTTGCCCTTAGTCCTCCAACTTTCAAAACCTTCCTGGTCTCGATAAAGGTAGAAGCCCTCTGTAGATGGATCCTTCCAAGATCTGAAAATTTGAAGTTATTTGGTTAAAATTCTGTCAACGCAAGATACGTTGAAAGATGCCAAGAAGCTTTTTAAAAACGCATTACCCAGCAAATCCCATTCCATTTGCATGCATATTTCCAATGTCTCTTTTTTTGCCATTACTTAGACAAATCCAAAGAGCATAATTCTTGTGAGTCACTAAGGCCCATCGATACATCACCTTGTGGTCTATCTCGTTTTTCTCTAAAATATGGCGACACCCTCTCAGATGGCAGCTCTATATTCTCCATGAATGGTTTAAGAGGTTCAAATAACTCCTCTCTCTCCCAAAAATGTCTTTTTTCTTCCTCTTTTTTTCCTCTAACTTTGAGTTCTGTCGCCTTCTCTTTTCCCGCTCATTTTCCAGTTTTTCCATACTTCCCCATTTCGAAATAGCGACGGACTCTACCTCGGACCGTTTAAATATTTTCATGGGAGCTAGAAAAGAAGATCGAAAACATAAAATATAGAATGTAAACACTCTTTCCAGCACAATTAAACCCACTCAGGTAAAAAATAAACCCGTGCTAACCATAACTTTTATTGACGGGGTTATCCTTTAATGTAAACTCTAATCCTTCCAAATCGTTATCTACAAGCAGGTATTTCCTTTTCGCCAACCCTTTAGAGACTACTTTATCACGACCGGTGTCGTTCAAATCATCCGCCATATTGTAAAGGACAGAGTAAGACTAGTGCCATTCCATACCGGTTCTCCCGAGTTTAACGCCTGGCTGTTTTCATACACGTGCGACTTGCCTTTAGAGTTGTCTTTGTAGCGCATGGCGAGGAAAACTATTTATTTTTGACCATCAGGACAACCTTAACTGATTGTTTCGAGGATGGGGAAAGGAAAAAGGGTACGTAAATTGTTTCAGTATGTAACCATCTTCGAAATATGAGACAAGGATTCCGTAAAATATTCTCCCATCCATGCGTTGTTTAGATTGGTTGTTTGTGTTTTATAGTTAGCGTTTCTTCTCATTTGCACTCTTTAGAAGAAGAGAAAGACCCATCAAGATCCAACAGAAGCAGAAATCAACAAAATACCTCACAGTTTTGTCATGCACAGGGGGGATGTGGGGAAATGTGTGCTTCAACTTGAGATGGACTTGAGACATGTTATGGAACCGTACACTGCAACTAATTTAAAGGTAAGGTAATGCACATTAAGCGTATTCACGATCTTTATAACGCTCAACTTAAGGGTTATTTGCAGTAATTGCTTGCACAGGGTGGAATCCAATTTGTTAGCGAAGTGATGTTAAACCATTTAACACTTCTCTGACTGTGTGCATTTGTCTTCGTTGAATTCAAAATTTCAGGTAAATAAGAAAAATGTTTTGAAGGACTTTGTTCATGTTGCTGGCCCTCTGGGTGTGACGCACTTACTGATGCTGTCGAAAACTGAAATTGGAACATATTTGGTGAGTAAAGATCAAATGGAACTGAAAACAATGCTGCATTTACAATCAAACTCTCTGTGTCTTCCTATCAATAACAGTTACACTGGTGCATTGAAAACCAGATAATGATATTATAAGGATATTTTTGTCCAGTTGTAGATGATTAATTTGTTTGGTTGGTTATATAGAGGTTTTGCCGCATACCTAGAGGACCAACACTGACATTCAAAATTCAAGAGGTAAACTGATCTCTTAACAGTATTAATAAAGGCATGTTTGCTTTAATAAAAGTTCATCTTTTTTGTTGGTGCATAATTGTGGAAACCAAATTTGTAGATGGTTAATTTTGCAAGGTCCCTTTTAGAGTGAAAGGGATCACTTTACAAGGTCAATTTAACATATGATGTCTTATCTGGGAAAAACTAATCCCTTTTCCACTTTTACTGCAGTATTCACTTGTGAGGGATGTGATATCTTTACTTAAGAAACCCAAGACATTTGGAAGTCAATTTAAGAAGCCTCCTTTGGTAAGATGGAGTCATTTGTGTTAGTCAAACAGGGCTTTGTCATGGAAAGAGTACAGAAAATAAAACAATTGACAATGGAATTTACTAGATAGAGTGTAACAGGGGGACTTCTATCCAAGTGGGAAGAATAAATTAGAATAAAATGAAAATTTTTTGAACAAGGCTACATGTACCAAGGTTGATGGAAATAAATTGTGAATTTTAATTACACTTCAAAACGTCCCAAAAAATAAAGTTCATCTTAGTAATTGGAAAATGATTACAGAAGAGGGGCTTTTTTCCCAGAGGAAAGGAGGATGGCTCTGTATAATCAGATGTACAAGTATTGTTCTCTTTTAAGAGGCAAATGGGAATGTAACCATGTGGGCTGATAATATATAGCAAGGTTTGGTGTTCGAGGGATTTTGGACTTCATTCCATTTTCCTTAATGATAATGATTTAATACTTGTGTAGCGCCTTACATATGTGAATATTATCTAATGAGCTATGACTTCTTTTCTTAGCTGGTGTTGAATGGATTCTCCACGGATAGCTTATCAATGAAGCTGATGACCACAATGTTTCAAAATTTATTTCCTTCAATCAACATCCAAAAGGTAATTTAAATTTGTTTAAAATAGTTATTAAAATTTAAAAATTGTGAAATGAGATTTATTCAAAATGTAAGGATGAAATAGCCTATGTTTGATATGTGTGAACACTTTGCCGCATTTCTTTGTGAAAATGTGAGTCAACCATCTAAAATTTGTGGGAGAATAATTATACCTAACAGAATGGATATGATCAATCTACCTTGATCAATCTACCCCCATTTGTGGCCACTTGAGTGAAAAAGGCCTTGATGGTAAGAGGAAGGAAAAATAGGGGAAGAAGAATACTCAAATGCTTTTATTATAATTAAACTCCTTAACTATCACATGGCAGACTTATTCTGATTTTGCAGAGGGTAATATGCAGCTTGCACTGGATGAATGTTTAATTGAATCAATATTACTTTGTAGATGACGGCAGATTTGAATTGTGGTCAAACTTTCATGAATTATGTTAAAGTGCTTTAACTCTTGGTGAATTCACTTCCTTGCTTCAGGTTCACCTCTCAGGAATAAGAAGATGCGTTTTGTTGAATTACAACTCAGACACAAAAATTATTGACTTCAGGCATTAGTAAGTCTAGTGTTTAGCACTTAAAGCAAGTGAATTTTTTATTTAGTCTACATTTAGTCATTCAAACTCCAGAGTAATTGGTGCCATTATTCTTTCATTATACTTATTCTTTTGTTATATTCACTGGTATGCATCATATAATTGTACAATGTCTTGTACATGTAAGTCAGACCTTTCCATTGATTACAAGTTTCCCAGGGCCAATAGCCAATAAGCTAATGTCTCTGTTGATATGTTTAGAAGTTTTTAAAATTGCCTTGGATTAATTTGTAAACAGTTTAAAAAATTTTGACAAACTGTTTGTTAGGTGCTTGTGGTTTCCAAACTGAGTGTGTCACAGACTGGTTTCAGACATGATTATGACCAGGGAGAAAGTACTGAACCCCCCAAAACAATTAAAGAATGATGATTTTAGATATATGAAATTCGTATATTTGCATTGTGGTGAAAAGATGAAATTAAGAGATCCTCGCAGCTAAGAACACTACTGAAACGAGTAGTTGAAAATAGGACCTGAAAAAAAGAGGTCATGGGTTCAAATCCTGTATGGGCCTGAATTTTTTTTCAGGGCCTATTTTCAACTACTCGTTTCAGTAGTGTTCTTAGCTGTGAGGATCTCTTAATTTCAACAATTAAAGATTGTTTTGTGGTTCAAAGAAAAGCCAATTAGGAATCAGAAAACCAAACTGCAACTTACAACCACAACTTACTACTGGTGGTTTGTGCTTTTAAGGTTTGCTTGCATTTGCTAAACTTCATTGTGATTGATCAATACATAATTTCTGACCTGTCAGATTCAAATCAAAGTGGTTATACATCTTTCTGAGTTTCACAATAAAAATACAATAGCATTGCCTTCCCTTTACTTGAAATTAAAATGCAATGGATTGCAAACTTAAGATTGAAGTCTTGTCAACATTTAACTTGAATTCTGTTTTTCCTTTTTAGTAATATTCAAGCTGCTCCCATTGGAATAAGCCGTGGAGTGAAAAAACTGATTCAAACAAAACTTCCTAACATGGCACAACTGAGTGATATCAGTGATTATGTCCTGAGGTATAGCTATATCACACAGCACTTGATATTTTTTGTATTGTTGTTTTCTGGCAGAGATAAAATTAAAAGAAAATGCGGGAATTGTTGGGTAAACATGGAGTAAAGGTCACTTGTCTCCAATAGATTACAAGATTACAAAATCAAAATAAACCATGTTTTGACTTGTGAATGAAATCATTGATGAGTTATTGGTCTTCGAAGGTTAACCTCAGTTTTAGTCACTGCAATAAGAGAAGTTTGAAAAAATCCATGCTTATTTCAGTCATCACTTCTGGCTAGGACTTAGATTACATAATAATATTAACCTGTGCAGATCAATTTAGGACATTTTAGATAACATAACTTCTGCAAAATTTTAAACAATTGATATGTTAAACTGAATGTGACATATACTTTGAACCATAAGGAAAAAGTATCAAATGAATGTACTCATTCTAATTCAATTGTGGCATTGTGGTTGTCTTACCATAGAGGTGGATGTGGTTATGGCTCAGAGAGTGAAGGTGAAGAACCAGTTGACTCGAGGGTGACCTTACCACAGAATGTACCAGGAAGGGGAAATGTTAAGGCACAACAAAGTGCAATACGTCTTACTGAGGTACAACTATTTGGATATTTGAATAGTCATTTTTGTCTGTATTGCTCAATTGTGCTGATTTGCAGCCTGTTTCATATAGTTAAAAAGTAATATGCCTTCTTTCTTCTTTTTTAGCTTGGGCCCCGAATGAGCCTTCAGCTTGTGAAGATTGAAGAAGGATTGTGCTCAGGGGAGGTTCTTTTTCATGAATTTGGTGAGGGCTTGTCGTAAAAAATGTTCTGTTATCAAATACATTGTATTAGGCACCATCAAATTTGAGCCTCAAATTTGATCTGTTCCAGATAGTCTTCTAATTAAGTACTTTAAATTCAGCACATCCTATTCTTATAATATTTAGAAGTAAAACAGGATATTTTCTGGTTACTTAAGACATTTCCAGTGACCGTAGTTCTACAGTTGGAGGGTACAATAAATGTAACTTAAGTAAAAAGCAGAACACAAACTAATAACAACAGTGTTTTTTTTTTCTTTTTTTAAGTGAAAAAGACAGCAGAGGAAATAAAAGAGATGAAAAGGCGTAGAGATGAAGCAAGGTATACAACTCATGTCCTAGTGGTCATGAGTGATTTTTAAAAAAGGGATTTTATGCTTCACTTTGTCATGTATTCATTATTTTGATCTGAAACAAACTAAGAGAGTTGAAAATTAAACTGGTTTGTAAAACGCATATATTAAACCTAGATTAAATTGGAACCACAAAATATGAGTTTTTGGCTCTCTGGGAAAGAATTATTTGCTGCCTTTAGGTAAATGGATATTTGGTTAGAACAGTTTATTTTTTATTTTGCTTGAATGTGAGTATTTTCTTTTTTCTTCTTAGAGGCCAACTGCTATGTTTGTGTCAATAATGAATACCAGTAACTTAAAAGTTTGTTTAAAAATAAAAGCTGATGACAATTTTTTTTAACTGATTGAAAACTCTTATTCATCAGGAAATTAAAGGAGCAAAGAAAGAAGCAGCAACAAGAGAATGTCAAGAGGAAAGAAAAAGAGAAAGCTTTAAACAAGTATGCTATCATGAAATGTTATTTTCTCTGTCAGTGATAGAAGTGGTTACTCTTAAGTAAATGTGAAAAACTCCTTTTTTTTTATAAAATTCATGTCATCTATATGCTGCTTTATAACATTTACTGCTTCTCTCTTTCTGAATCTACTCAAGTGGGAAATGTTCTTGATTTAACAGAGTGCGAAGTATAGAAGGACAGAAAAAGAATCTAAAGCTTAAGGAAGGTGGTGATAACATTGGTGAGTGTCTTTTGATATACAGATATTAAGTGCAGTTACAAGCATCATCAGCTCTTGCCAATATAGGAATCTACATACCTCACAGTACAGGAACCTTTGATTTGTGTGTAATGCTTTGCTTCATGTACAGCATTCTTTGCTCATGTGCAGCACTTTGTTTTCACTTCAATTGACTTAAAGACAGTAAGATGTTCTTACATGACTGTTATTATAATTTTGTAAGCCAAGTTAATACATGCAACCAAACTGTGAATTATTTGACCTTGTATGGTAAACTGGGGACCCATTCTCCGCAAATATGCCAACAGGCAGCTTCTTAAGTGGATAAATGAGATGGGATTTTATTTTCCATGGATGGGATGAAGCAATTCACATGGTGCATTGTACTTATAGACAAAATGTTACAAGAAACAAACAGCATTCTCTTTATGACAGATGATGTTAATATGGACACAGGTGACATAGTGGATAATGATGATGCAGACTGGTACAGACAGGAGGTTGGCGAAGAACCTGATCCTGGTAAATTCTTTGTTTGTCACATCTTACCCCCTAATCTCTAGATAATCTCCCTTTATCTACTTTGAAAAGGTTATTTCAACTATTCTTCCATTTCAGAGCTTTTTCCAAAAGTCCACAAAAAGAAAAGGCTTAGAGATGTTGCAACAGTTCCTGGTAAAAAGAGGAAACATTCTGAAATAGTTGATAACTCAGAAACAACCAAGATATCCTTAAAAGAAACAGAACATCGAAAATACAAGCAAGAGAGAAAAGTCAAGAAATCTGTGAAATTGAAGCCATTAAAAAAAGGTGTCAAGAAAGGAAAGAAAGTTAAATTTGGAAGGAAGTCAAAATAGTGAAGAAAATAAGAAAACCAATGATGCGTCTGATCCTGAAACATGAATGTAGAACTTGACTGGTTTTGATTGAGGATACTGACTCCTATTGTCACTGTTCTTTTAATATGCAGAGGAGTGAGTGGAGTTTAAAATGATTCTTATAGGAACTTGCTGACTTTGTATTAAAATTTAGAATACAAAAAATGTAATTTGCAGTTATTAGGGTTGCAGGGATGGCACAGTGGTGAGAGTGCTCTCCTAACACTGCTGTGGCCTAAGATCGATTTTCATACCTAGTGTTAAATGTGGGTTGAGTTTGTTGTTGGTTCCAGTCCTTGTTCGAAGGGTTTTCTCTGGATCCTCTGGTTTCCCTCCCTCCACAAATACCCACATTCTAAATTCCAATTCAACCTAGAAACAGTGGACAGGAAGAGCCACCTTGTGGAATGTCCTGTCAAATCCCTTTTTCTTAAATTTAACTTTGCAATGATGCTAGCCTTGTATTTAGATTCAATTGGAAACTATTGCAAGCTTTCAAATGCAATTACATTTTGCTCTGAAATGTTACAAACCAAACTGGTTAGTGTCAAATTGGAAAGCTAAATGTCACTGAGATGTTAGATGTCACACTGAACACACCAACTGGTAATTCTTTACGTTTCCAACATAAGATGTCAAGCTCCGAAACTTGTCAACACTCTAACAATACCACCCAACCCTCTGTCATGAGTTTTCATTCCCCATTATGCTCCCTGTCCAATCCTCTCTCCTTCCCTAATATAGACTTTGCACCAATTAGGTATTGTGTGCTTTGGGATTGACACCATGAGTAAGAACACAAATGAGGGTTAAATGAGGAGGAAGTGCATCCTTAGTTGGATGATGTGTCAAACTTTCATTTTGGGTTTTGGAGAGGGAGAGGAAGGCTTTAATTTATTGGGTGGGCCAAACACTGAGGGTCACATCATTTGCAAGGTGAGGTAAGAGTAGAGGAGGTAAGGTTGTTTACTGGTTGTCAGCATGTGCCTACAATGGGAATCAGCAAAACAACAGGCATGCAAAAAACTTCAGGGACCAGTCCAAGAATTGGAATGCAACAACAGCTGTTTTTCAGGTGCCTCTTCCTTTGCCTTTGCACCACTAACTGAAAGCCCCAAACAGGCTACCATGTCCAAGACAAATACTTCCATGGGTAGCTTTAAGTTTTATTCAGTAACAAGACAGGGCATACAGTTAGCATACACTAACACAACTGTCAGCCTTAGTAAAAGAAGTTACATTTCAGACTCTATGTCACCATTTGGACATGAATGCCATATTTCTTTACACCAAAAGAATAACAAAACCTTTATATGGCAACAAAAATTATCCTGATCACTTCCAGAAGATGACCAAATCAGAAAGAGATCAGGGACTTACTTTCTTGCTTTAGTTATTTAGTGGAAACCCTCCTTTCCTCTCAGAAAAAAAAAAAGTTCATTAATATGTAGGTTCTGAGTGAAAGCTAATTCCTCAAAAGAAAAAATAACAATAGTAAACAAAAGCAAGGCTTTTGACTCTAGACATAAATGATTGCAGCTGTGTCCCTCTTTGACAGGTTATACAACCTTCACTATCAAAAAAAAGACAAAAACTACAATTCAAATTTGAATATGATTAATATGACCTGACGTGTATGTATACAAATGCAAGTACAAATTCAATTTTTCTAATGAGGTGAAGAACACAAAACTTTCTTGTGTTCATGTGAAAAAAAGTTTAGCAGCATCTGATATACCTTACAAGGACTGAACACTAACTGTATGACACTCTCATTTACCATGGTCTAACACTCTCTAGCAACAATGCCGTTTACCACAGTTAAACTATGGTCATACACTACTGTATATAGTTAGCAATAGAAATACCTAGGGTTCTACCATAAACTACAAGCAACAGCTTTACATATTATTTGCAATAAATCATATTGAAGACGGAATATAGTGAGCCATTTTCATGATTAGACCCTATTAGTCAGCTTCATTGCCTGAAAAACAAAAAAAATAGCAGTGTGAAAAATTGTTTCATAGCCAAAGATGTCAACTGTATGCAAAAATATCAGACTCTTCAAGTAAAAGGGTTTTGCTTGACAAAGCCCATAAAAACGTTGTTGTAATGACCTCAGAATTTGATTGCTTGTCCTTTATTTTTCAACTGATTGTACACAAGGTTTATGTCAGTTGTAGGCAACCAAAAGTGGAAGTTTAGATACTAAAAGAGTTATATCTTTTAGATACTAAAGAGTTACAGTGTCCAATTAAGATCACCTTATTTTCCACTGACAAGTAATTTCATACCTTGCTGATATCAATACCAGTGAGTGCCTCCACAGATTTTGGCAAATTGGCAACAATTTCCAGGATTTCACCAGTGATTTTACTGGCACCAAGTTCACACTTTCCGTTGGAGACCATGACAATCTTCTTACACTGTGAGAGAGGTGCTGCCACTTCAGCTGCAATCTAAGAAACCACAATCATTAGATGAATCCCATCCAGAAAGACAGCCTCTTTTACAGCAATTAAGAGATAAAACAAGACAGTAAGAATCGATTGTAAAGTCTGATGTTCCAACTCACATTTTGAGAACTTGGGTAGAGGCCATCAAAGATGCCAAGTGCCTTGGCTCTGAGAATGACTTCTGCTCAGGTTGTTGAAATGTCAATTAATGTCATGTTAATGTCAATCTCAACTGGATGATCAGTCAGCACAATCAACAGTCTCTCCCTGGTTCAAACCACTATCTGGCATCAAAGAATGCTGATGTTACAAGTGACATACCTTTGGCATGGTTGCCAGAACCATGTCAACAACAGCAGCCTCTCTATACTCTTTCCAAGCATCTGCTTTCTTGGCCATCTGTTCAGCTTCTGCTTTAGCTTTTGCTTCAATGGCAAAAGCTTCAGCTTCTCCTTTCACCTGTTACAATACATAAAAATGGTCATTCATACAAGAACTTTCAAAAAAGAAAACTTGGAAAAACAGCTCCAAAGGTAGGTCTTTTATTAAATAAAAATCTTAAAAATAATCCTTATTTATAAGATCAATTCTGGGCAAGGACCAAGGAGTAAGATCTCTGAATTGACCAATGTGACCTATCAACAGGATAAGAAATAGTCTCCATAACTACACTGGTCTGATATAACTAATTCTCACCCTTATAGCTTCTGCACTGGCCTCAGCTTCCAGTATCACACGATTTCTAAACCAAAAGAAAGCAAAATATTGATACAGAATACAAAATGTATTGAACTTTAAAACCAATATTTTTGGTTTAACTAACTTCACTGAACAAATTAATCAGACTTTCAGCTGATACTATTAAAGTATTTTGAAAAGGTATCTACTCACCGGTTTGCCTCAGCAAGCTTCTCCATTTTATACTTGTCTGCTTCAGCTGGCCTCTTGATGGTAGCTTCAAGCTCACGGTCCTTCCGTGAAATTTCCTAACAAAAATGTATCACATATTATGCAAGAAACAAATTACAAATTCCATAAAAAAAGATGGTTATCACAACATAACATTGCACGGAACATGAACATGACTACTTGACAGGAAACAAAAATTAACATTCATGGAATTTCTACATTATTCTTGAAGGAATTTGAATAATGTTACCTGCTCTTGAACATTGATCTGCTGTGCTCTCTCCACCACTCTGATCTGCATTTCTTCTTCCTTGATTTTCTGTTTTGTTATAGAAGCCTGGAGGGCATATGCCAATTCGGACTCTGCTTTCTAAAATAGGGCAAAGAGAAAAATGAGCAACTGCATGGATTAGCATTCATTATCATGAAGGTGCATCTGCAATAGGTACTATCCAGTAGCTTAAAACTGTAGAACATTGAATATCAATCAGTTCTTAGTCTTGGTGCCATACTGAATTGATTGTTAATAATAATAATTATAATAATAATAATAATAATAGTAATTAATAATTAAAATAATAATAATTTATTACATTTATATAGCACCATATATATTACTCTACAGCACTTCACAATCTTGAAAAAAGAAAATCAAAGAAAAGTATAAATAAAAAAATAGGTATTTACAAAGATAAAAATGTAAAATGTATAGAAAAGAAGAATAACCAAGTAAATGAATAAAAAACAAAAATGCACATTATGTATGTAACTACTGCAAGTAGGCCTCTTCAAATAAAAATGCCTCTAGGAATTTCTTAAAAGCATTGATGTTCGTGCATGTCTTCAGTTTTTTCGGTAAGGTATTCCATAGTTTAGGTCCCCCATAGCCCACTGATCTTCCTCTAAAGGACTTATGCTTGATGGTGGGGATCACCAAGTCATTGTTGCCATCAACCCTTGTTCTTTTCATAGGTCTCCTCTTCATAAGCCCCTCAAGGTAAGTTGGTGCCTGACCATTTAACGACTTGAAAGTCAATATTAGAACTTTGTAGCAAATACGTTGATATACAGGCAGCCAGTGAAGTTGTTTAAGAACTTGAGTTATGTGTTCATATTCACCATGTTGAGAGATGAAATGTGCAGAGAGATTCTGAACCCTGGTGAAGTGCTTTAGTGTTGACTCTGGCAGACCATAGAGAATTGCATTGCAATAATCAAGTTTAGATGTAATCATTGAATGAACCCCTGCCTTAGCTGCAGTCTCATTAATACAACATCTGATCTTGAACATATTTTTCAGCATGTAGAAGCATTTCTTTGCGACATTTCAAACATGTTGTTTTGAGGTTAAGTCACTGTCAGAGTCAACACCCGGAAGGCGAACACACTTAGTGACATCAACTTCCTCGTTACCAACAGTGAGTGATTGTAGTTCCATCATATTACATCAAGGTCCACCTACTGTCATTATTTCAGTTTTACTGTCGTTTAACTTCAACAAGTAGAGTTTCCATCTTGTACTTTGTCATAGAAACATTTTCCCTCAAAAACGTGATATAAAGTTGGCAGTCATCTGCATAAGCATGGAACATGATACCATGACTACGAGCGATATCACCAAGTGGGACCAAATACATTATGAACAGTTTTGGGCCTAAGAGACTAACCCTTGGGGCACCCCAAAGTTTAAGGCCTTAGAATCAGAGAGTATTCTGTCAATGGCAACCCTCAGCTTCCTTCCATCTAGATAGGATTTGATCCAGTGAAGGCATCTACCAGTAATTCCAAAAAAATGTGCTAGTCTTGCTAGTAGTATCTGATGGTTGATCATATCGAAAGCTGCATATAAAATTATCAAGACAATCAAGACAAGCAACAGGAAAGAGTTAATCATCAGTGCAAATATTTCCTTGTGTATTCATTACACACAGAGTTGCTGTAAGTATTACAGAAGTTCCACTGTCTATCTGATTAAAAAAATAATCAACTTATATATAAGGTTAAATATACATACTTTGGTTTGAACTTCTATATCATATGCAGCCTTCTTCAACTCATAATCCCTCTTAGCTTTAGCAATCTCTGTATCATTCTCATATTTGGCCCTCTGCCTTGCCTCCTCTGCCAGAGCTTCCTATAATAACATCATAATATTAACTGATTAGCTGTAACATACAAAGTTTAATTCTCTCTCTCACTAAAGGTCTCTTTGACACTGAGGCACCTTCCTTGAAAACAATTTTATGAACAAAAGTTTTAACCTTAATTCCAGAGTCCCTCTTTGCTTCAGCCTCACCGATTCTTGCGTCTCTCTTGACTTGTGCAGTCCTGGCCATACCAAGGGCTAGCAGATATCCCTGTCACAAATAAAAATCATTTAATAAATGTTTCATTAACTAACAAACTCCTTTAAACACAATGCAAAAGTTCATACAAACATGGTGCCACATAGATTTTAAAGATACATAAAGGCATGCAACTGTGTGAGGCAACATAAAATCCATTGTTGGGAGTTGTTTAATACCTTCATACTAGAGTTATAATCCTTGAAAGATTTTACATAAGACAGCGAGAAGATACTATTTAGGTGGACTTTTAGCTCAAAATTAATTGTGTAAGTTGTTCAGCACCTTCTAATATCTACTGTTTACAAGAAATGTGATGTAAGATTTGTCAATCATTACCAACATGCAGATCATACCTCATCATCTCGAATGTCCTTTATGGTGTAGCTTACAACACTGACTCCCATGTTGACCAAATCAGATGATGCTACCTAAAGATTGGACAATAAAAAATAAATTTACTACATGAAAGTCTTCTATGCTAACACATCATGGCAAATGCCTGAAAAAAAATTGATACAATATTGTATTCAAGAACGAAACTCCAGTGCATGGATAATATGGCATTCCACATGAGCTTTTAAGACCGTTCTCTAATTTGGCATCTGTTCATTTCTAGCCAAGGAAACATTTACAAATCACAACAAGTTCAATGGAAACATAAGTTTCAGATAATGATATAGTATCAATTGTATCTAGCTATATCACACTATAAGGTTGCAAAGACTAAAATGTAATATGATTGTTTTTTAAAAGTGTTGAAATATGTTTATGTTGATGACAATATTTCAAATTTTACAGCCTTGCAAAATGACGTTTTTAAAAAAGACAAGAATAAGCTACTCTTTGTTTACCTCAAACACACTCTTAGAGAACTTCTTTCGATCTTTGTAGATTTCCTGTTTACAACAAAGCGCAAGTCAAGTCAATCCTATCAATGTTTAGTTCACCACTCATGCATCACACTGAATTAAGTGTTAAATTTTTTGTATCTCATTCCAGAAAGTGAACAAAAGGTATCCCTTCTGTCAATCCTTGCACTTCAGTGCATTTTTTCAGATAATTTGACCACAGATGTAACCCTGTATTTTAATCAAACTATGTTTTTTTTGTAATGTTTCCTATATAAACAGCTTTCAAAGAACAATCAAGGTCACATTTCTTTACCTCCACTGTCATTGTACCCATGATGGCTCTTTGATGACCTTCCTATAAACCAATGATTGAATAGATCATGAGTTTTACATAACAACGGTCTATGCCTTGTTTCAAACAAGTGCTTTAAAAAGTTTTAAGGTGGATCACAGAAATGAAGCCACTTAGTTTACTTCTATAAAATGGAAGTGGTATCAAAGAATGATTTCCATGTGTATCCACTCACATATCAAATAGCGAACCCTAAAAAAGCTCTAAACTTGGATTACTGTTGGAGTCAACCACAGAAGGGATATCATCTTGAAATGGCTCTCACCAGTGCAGTGTAAACTGTTGTATTCATGTTTAAAAAGAAGGCAGACAGCATTATGTAATCTTACCAGTGTTTCCAAGGCAACAGCACGCACTTGTTCTTGAGTTTTTCCCAAAAACTGCTGACAGGCTGCATACAGCATTTCCTGATTTTGGCCTTGAATCTTCACCTAAAACAACCAAACCCAATAAAAGAATAAATAAGCCCAGAAACAGATGTAATGATCAATTATGTATATTTCCTGTGAAAATATTGAACTTCTTACATAGGGTAGCAATGGGTGATGTTTATTTTACATGTACATGTGTTTGCTGATCCACAGAGTTTAGCAGGACAGACTGATGAAAGTTTCCTGCCTGACATGGTGTTAATCTTACTTGAGCTATTCCTGTGACTGAGATTGGCACTCCATGCCTTGTGTAAACACGCGGTGATTCCACATTCAACGTCATTGTGTTGAGAGAGATCCTATACATAGAAAATAAATATAAGAAACACAACCTTGTAATTGTTTATTCACTCCTCCTCTATTTTCAAACATCATTTTTTCACAGCAAGTCAGCAAAAAGCCACCTCAAATTTGTCCTTTATCCATGTACTTATCCAAATGAAAACTACTCCACTTCTTTGATTTAGTGTGTTTTTATTCAGCATTTTTTTGATACAAAGCAACTCAGCACAAGTTTCAGCTTAGTTAAAAGATACACTTTATTTTCCAACTGTTGATTTGAACGAGAATCATGACGTAAGTGTGCAAAACATAAAAAAGTGCCCGGTGAGCCAGCACTGATATTGACATCTATGAGTTTTGCTTGATGTAAACAAAGTTACAGTAGATTGTAAGTGGCTTTTTCCAAAAAAGAGAGAAAGTCTTAAACAAAAGGTTACAGATTTCAACTCTGGAAAACATTGGAGTGAACTGAATTTATCCTACATTCTTCTCAATTTCATCAAAAATGTCATAGTCATGACAAGAATGCCGAACTACGCATAGCTGGAAATGACATCTGAAAGGAATTGAACTATATAAAAAATGAAATGGTGATTCTTACTTTTGTAGCTTTTGAATAAAGGGCCATACGAATATTCGGCCACCAGAGACTAATGCTGATTTACGGTGACAAACCCCTGAAGAAGGAACGGAGAAATATCATCTCAAAGTTACAGAAACGTGATTAATTTTCGCGATCATTGTTGCTCGAACGTAAGGAAACACCTGCATGATACTCGATTAAATGTTACGCTTTTGACAACGTGGATTTTGTTAAAAAGGCACAAAAAATAATAATTGTAATGCTACTAAAATACCTGAAACAACCATGGCCTCATTTGGCCCACAAGTTTCGAAGAACACCATTTCGAAGTTTTGACCTACGCAGCAAAAGTTCCCCGTTCCTTGAACACAACAATATGGCGACGAAATCACGTGACCTAGACGGCTACGCCTCCTTTCCTCAGTCGATAAGTAGCCGAGCAAGTCAATAATAGATCGCTGCGAGCCCTTCCCCATGCATTGACTTCGGGTCCACCCCGCGGTTTGATACCACGTGCCCTTCATTTCGGTGTTCTCTCTGTTCGTTTACTCGAGGTAAGATGGCGGTCAATTTTACGAAGGAAGAATTATTTAAATTATCTACTAACAAAGACTTTGCTTTTAAAACCCTGATCGATTATATTAAATACTGGTTATTTCCTTTGATACGGGAAAGATAACTAAATAAAATAAGTGAGTAAAGTTTTACTTTTGTGAGGGATCGTTTATCAGGGCTTTCAGAATTCACTTTCCTGCCAACAATTTCCTTTGATCTAGATGTTCGTGGCCACTAATTTAAGCTTATTTTATTCTTCTTTCAATTCTATCGCCCTTCGAGTAGTTTCAAAACGATTGAATGGGGAACGAACTGTTCTTAACGTGGCGGTATCCTGAAATGTTTGTACACTAAGCTTATTTGTGAAGTTAGTAGTCTCCTCATTCTTGCAGTGTGTAAGCTTCTTTCTTCTTTTTGTTCTTGACTACGATTGATGTCGAGTTTTTCTTGCGTGATCCAAGACGCAGGCACAATCCAAGCACAAGCACGAAACATAACTTTCCTACATTAACTTCTTATTACAAGCAGTCAAGGAATAAACAATAGAAGTAAAAGAGTACCTTTGATAAGCCCCTGCTTCGGGTTGTACTTACGTCGTGGCTGTAATTTCCAGTGAACAGAGATGATGAATTATGCTCATATTTATTCTGTTACTCACATTAACATCAGGCCTCAGATTGTTGTCCTTATCTATGATAAAAGCATCAAAGCATGTAGGAGCTTATGGGCTCGTAAGGCGGCACAAACTTAAGGCAGACTGTTGAAACATCACTAATAGAATGGAAGACTGGCAAGGATTTCAGTGGGAAATTAGATATACTCGAGACACCTTGCTGCTTGTGCTGCTTGTGCCTATGCATTACTAGGGGCCAGGGCAAAGAGGAGTTTCATGTGTCAAATGAATTGATTCAACAACCAAAATGATTCCTTCAGTTAAGTCCATCTCGCCGCCTAGTTCATATGACATCACCTAGCAAATACTGCTTGATTGAACATCAAATTCTCCCTTACATTTTACAAGGAAATGCTAGACAAGTTGGGAGAAGAATTTAACAGTAGTGAAATTCTCTTGTTCTTTGTCAGTGTCATCATGTCTGAGGACTGGGGTGCTGCTGATGATGCCGCACCAGTAGTAGTTGCACCTGAAGTGCAGGACATTAAACTCTTTGGAAAATGGAGCACTGATGATGTGCAAGTCAGTGACATCAGTTTAACTGTAAGTGTGTTATTTCCTTTTGCTGTCTGCCAATGGTTGATCAGCTGTTTGCTTTGTCAGTGGCTTGGGGGCTTATTTATCAAGGAAAACTTATAATTTTTGAGAATAAAACCTCCTGGCTTGTGTTTAAATGCAATTAAGGATGGTTTAAATTAGTGCTGCTTTATACTTGTGTGGTTGGTTCACATTGATTAAGGTTGTGGTTTTCAACTCAATATAATAGAAACAGGCCAGCTTTTAAAGCTGCCACTTCACATTCTTGGCCTCTTGGGATGTACCAGTTAGTGTTCTGTATGCAAGAATTAAAATCAGGGATGCAAGTCAATCACTGAAGGTTGCATTGAATCAAGCTTTCAACTTGATAGGTTTGATGTAATTTTGCTTTTTTTTCTCTCACAATGATCAGGATTATATTGCAGTTAAAGAGAAGTATGCCACATATCTTCCTCACACTGCTGGGCGATATGCCTCAAAAAGGTTTAGGAAGGCACAGGTAATAATTGAAAAGTATTTGTTACTATCAGCAAACTAATCAAAAGCTGAAACCTGTTCTTTAAACAGAATGAAAATGACCTTGTGGCTTATTCTCACCCATGAAAATAGAGGGTAGACTTAAAACCCTCAGGCCAGTTACTATGACAAGATGTTGCCATTTTTTTGTTTTTATGATCTAAGCCTTGATTTCTGTGAATAGTGGTCAAGAATTTTAATTAGCTGATAATGAAAAAAACTTTTATTTAGTTCAAACAAGCCAATTGTATAGAAATCCTGTACAGTGATTGTTCAAAACTATGGCATTTAAATGTCAGGCTAAGTGCTTTTTCAGAGTAAAGTTTGTTCTTTGAGTCAAGGTTAAGCTGTGATCCACCTTTATGGCCTTTTTTGAAGTGAGATAATATTTTCATGGGATATCTTAGCCTTGTGAAAGCTTCATGAGCATATCATCATGCAGTGTAACCATTTTTCTGTTAGTGTCCCATTGTGGAGCGACTTGTCAACTCTATGATGATGCATGGCCGTAACAATGGCAAGAAGCTGATGACTGTCAGAATTGTAAAGCATTCATTTGAGATCATCCATCTGTTAACAGGAGAGGTGAGGAACAACAGAGAACTATTTTCAATTTGAGCAGTCTGGAAACTATTTTATCCTGCCCTGTCAGCTGATTCTCTTGTTAGTGATAAGATCGTAAATTTCAATTACCATCATTCAAGGATGTACACTTATCCAGGTGCAAAGCTTTGTAAGTATGATGCAAACACAGAGGGAGATCTTTGGGAATTCTAAAGCTTTTGTTAGCACAAGCTGCTAGCAGGGGTTACAAGAGGCACTTCAGTTTCTCTTGGCAAAATCCATCTACTGATTTTAAATGATGTTAAAAATCTGTCTGTGTTCAGAACCTTTTTACTTTTACAGTCTCTCATTCCAGACTCATTTCGCCATTTTTTCTTTCTTCCTTTGACTTCTTTTTGTACAAGGCTGAAAAAGAACACTAAAGTTGTTGAAAAATTTGTAGACCAAAGTCAGCAGACTGCAAGTTTTTAGAGTAAAACTTCCCTTTCCCTTTCCCTTCCCTGTAGAATCCTCTGCAGGTTTTGGTCAATGCCATCATCAACAGTGGCCCCCGTGAGGACTCCACCCGCATTGGTCGTGCTGGTACAGTGCGTCGTCAAGCTGTAGATGTGTCACCCCTGAGGCGTGTCAATCAGGCCATGTGGCTGCTCTGCACTGGTGCTCGTGAGTCAGCATTCAGGAACATCAAGTCCATTGCAGAATGTCTTGCTGATGAGCTCATCAATGCTGCCAAGGTCTGAATTGCATTTAATGCTAAATGTATTTAAATAAGTGTACATGTAATATGTTTTGCCAAACTAGGCCAACTGGCTTTTGACCTAAATACAAGATTTTCTTTAACCCTTAAACTCCCAAGATCTTATCAGTAATTCTCCTTACTATCTGCCCAACAATTCTCATTATGTTTTGGAGAATCTGGTATCGGATTAATTAGTAATCCCACAATCAATATTTTTCTTTATTCTCATCACTTGTCTGCATGATATTGTATAGGTATAGTAATGAGAAATTCTGTCTTGGTCTCTCATGGGAGTTAAAGGGTTAACTAATTTTGCTGCATTTCCAAGCCTTAATTTACCACTACAATTTTTAAAACATTACATGACGCTTTCAGTAGGTGCCCTCTCTGGCCAAGTAGATGCTAATGTTTCCAAAGGCTTGATGATTTTCTGTTGTGTCTTATACTTTCCTTTTTTCTTCTCTTTTCAGGGTTCATCAAACTCTTATGCTATTAAGAAGAAAGATGAGTTGGAACGTGTTGCCAAGTCTAACCGTTAAAATATCAAAACTGACAGCAGAACATAATAAAAATTGTTTCTGAATGGAAGACCTTGTCTCCTTCTCTGTGTTCACTGTTCAATGTAAGGTTTTCACTCAGGAGTGAAGGTTGATAGTGGAGTCTATGTCTGGTAGAGGGTAGTCTTGAAATGGAATGTTAGCAGATAGAAGTGCATCTGTACATGCAGTGTTCTTCCTTATTTTATGCATGACAAGTAAAATGAATTTTCAAACCGGTAAAGCAATCCATTTGCCTGTTGAATTTTCAAGAATTCCAAGTAATTTTAAACGGTAATCAGAGGTACTACAGGTAGTAAATGGTACTGGTTGCTGCCTGAAAAGGAGAACACTGTACATGTATTCCATAGCCTCGGAGTTATCAGACTCCTGATGCATCTCAACTGAGAGAGAATGGTCCATACCTCTCACATTCTCTCCAAAAACAAATTCTGTGGTCAATAGAAGTGTCCAAATGTCAGGATGTAAGGGAAGAACACCAACTTGTCATGATAATAATAAGAGCATGTGAAAGCTCTATACTAGAAGCAAACCATTATGCAATTTAATATGGGCTCCCTGATCACTAACCTCTTCACCTCATGGAGCCTAGGATGTGAATACTTTGTATGGCAGGGATCCCTTCACCGATTTGAGGAGTCAACTTGTACTATCTCTAAAATTTGACAAAATACTTTTCCCTACGAATGTTTCATCTACTCCTCTTCATTTCTCCCTGGTTATAATTTTTTGACTTAGCATTCATCTAACAGCCCACAATGCAAGTATCAACAGGCTATCTATTTCAGTTGTTGATATGCAGCTAATACTCCCTCAGTAGAGTGATGGGACTGCCATAAAGTTTGCATACCCAAGGCACCCTGTAATATGCAGCTAGAGATATTCAGGGAACTTGATGAAAGAAAAGGTGCTGCCATAGGAGTGCCTGAAATGTCTAATAAATACTCAGCTGTGCAGGCATGACAGTAAAATTATGAAATGTCACACTAGCTATAGAGAATAATTTCTTTCACCAACTGCTTCATGCAATCATCTGAAGACACAGGAACTGACTTGCAAAAAGCTGGTGTGATCCCCAGATATACAGGCTAGTCTTTCAGCTGTTTGCTACCTCTAGGTAGAATTAAAGTGCTTTCTGCATAGCTATAAAATTCTCATTTGAAATGGTCAACTATTTCGTAAGGGACCACCTTTAGGGCAGGGAAGGGGTGATCACATTCAAAAAAGACTGGCACAAAGAGCCAATTGAAAACACTGATTAGATCCACCAACTAATTGCAACAAAGTTCCAGTCATTAATATTACAGCAAGCTCACTTATTCACTCTTGGCTTTTGCAAAGGAAACTGCTCTTAGAAATAAGTTCCATCTTGAGAAACTTCAAATCAGTAAAGTTTTATTATAGACAGTCACTGCAAGAGTAGCCCTTGAGTGAGAGTTGGCAGTATTATTTTTCTTCACAAAGCTGTAGCAGAATTTATTTCAAATTCATGTTTTGCACATCATCTTAACTGACAATCCTATTATTGTTAAGTCTGTGAGTCTGATATCTATCAGTGATAGTGCATTTTGCTGTTTCTGTTGCAGTTTTCCATCAACCAACAGATACTTCTGTACATCTTAATAATGAGATCACCATTCCACAAGATTTATTCCACACAATGTAGTAGTGGGATGAGCAGAGAAGCTACCATGGAGGGGACAGAGCTTTATGTTATGATTCTGTTAATCTCCAGATCTTGATAGTACAATCATCAGAACATGATGCTAGGAGGCCTGGCTCCTTAGGATGCCATTTAACTCCATTAACATCCTGGGAATGTGCCTGTATTAAGAATTAAATTAAAAAACTTATGTGATTCAAAGGCAATAATCAATCACTATTAACATCGGACTGATTCAGGTTAATGTCACACACACACACATCTTGTAAGTGCTTCTTTCCTATCGCTACCCAAGATATTTACCATTTAGTTTATTCATTGTATGTTTAGAGAATGGCCAGATATAACTAGTTCACATAATATATCTGCAAAAAGGTATTGTCTAGAGATTTTCAGTGGAATTATCATACGGCTTTCACAGATTTTGGCATGTTGGCAACAAAAGAGAAAGACCATGGCCAGTCCTGTTGCATCACACACCAAGAGATGGCAACAATAATATCTCTAAAGCATCAACATGTCTATCATCTGCCACTGCTTCACATTTCATCAGGTGAGCCATCCCACATGCATATCTGTCATGTCTGAACCCCAGCTAGGAGCTACCATTTCAAGCCATGCAGCGCTTCCTTTAACCTAGCAGCATTGATAGCACCAGAGAAAAGTAATCCAAACTTTAAGAGACAGTCTGGTCCCTAGGATAAAATTTGCAGCTGATCCAAAGTCCCCAATTGTCACACTTAGCATGGTAAAATCTGTCCATTCTTGAACCTATTCTAGCACCCCCACCCTTCTGCGATAAGAAATACAAATAATTAACAATCTTATTTTAAACAAAAGCAAGAAAGGATGATAAACACCTCTCGCTGAATTGCTACTTGCTGGAATGAAGGTTTATTCTTGTCATCAATAGTAACATCCTGTCAAAAGAAAGCATGTTCACTTAGTGATAATCTTTCAGTCAATAAAACAGAAAAGCCTTAAAATACATTCAAAATGTTTATCATCTATTCCTAAGGGCAAGTTACATACTAGTAATTAGTTTTCATGTTAACCAACAAAGTTATCCTCATGAAAATCCAGCATGAATTTAACAAAAAAATCCATAACCTGTTGAAATACTCTGAGACAATCATCTCCCCCTGCTGTTGCTATGACATCTTCAACAGGAGACCTGATTTTAAAAGGAAAGAGAAGAGAGAAATACTCCTGCAGTAATATAAGCACAGCATAACTGTAATCTTTATCTATCTGTGATGAAAAACTTTATTTGTTGGAAAAAAATCTTACAGAGATTTGAGAATAATCTGACTTCTGACAGTGTTCTTTGAAGTCACCAATACCAAGGGCACAGGTTTGCAAAAGAAATGGGAGGAACTAATTACTGGAATAAAAAAGGAAGCAAGGACCACAGAACACTTTCTATTTCCCTGCCCTATGCATTTTTTTCTCTTTCCTTTGAGTATTTCATTCACAAACTGTCACAAATTCCAAAGTGCCAGAAAGAACCATTAATTTTTCACTCCATTGGTGAACAAATTTACACCTACCAGTGAACATCATAAATAGTTCTGTCATGATAACCAGACAACACACAAACACTCTTCCATTTTGGGTCGCTTCCATTTGTGACAACACCTGGTAGGAATTGTATTTTAACTGGGTTGAGAATTCTTAATTCAATCAAAAATGCACCTTAACAAAGCTAATTGTCAACAATTAGCTTTGCTAACCACTCTTAAGTAACATTTCTAGTGATACTAAAACTACGTCTAGCAATGATAATGATGATGAAAATTAGTTCTTGTAACTGACCACCCTTCTCCCAAAATGTAGACTTTTCAGGGCCAAAAAAATTAAATATTCCAAAAGAAATCAATCATTCAAATATCCCAACTGGCTGGGGAAAGACCAGTTCGTTAAATACCATGATGTTACCAGAGAAAAATTTAGGACCAAATTAAAATCTTAGTGCCAAGAACAAATCTACAGTTGGTTAAGCTACTGTTAGCAGTAAGCAGCATGGTGCAGGGCTGGAATCTGGGACCACCAGATCACAAGACAAGCACCTTTACTAACTAATCACTTTTTGTTCTTTGTTTGTCTAAATGTAGTCATTTTTGGTATAACAACCATTTTTTTATTACTTAATAGTATATAGAAGGTAATATTTCATTACCTTCTTGATTCCCTGGTTCATAACTCTGCCATATTCTTATTGTTTTGTCATCACTGCATGAAACTGTAAAGAATATTAATAAAAAGCATTTACAGCACTGTTGTAAGGAAAATATAAAAACAGTCAAAGTAGCCTATTAATTCATCAACTTTTTTCACCAACCTAGCCTGTCACCAGTGTGATTAAAACTTATGGCCCATACTGTTGCCTCATGGCCATCCAAAGTATCAAAACAAGACCTGTTTTGAAAAGTACAAATTAAAAATAAAATACCAGGAGTGAAAGAATTAAGAAAAAACAAACATGGCTTTGACCAATGGCCTATCGTGCAGCAATAGCTCTGAATAATCTTAATTTCTACCATTCAATTTTGTTACCCAATCTCAATATTTTACATGAACAAAGAAGATAAGTTTCTAAAGAAACAATGGTGCTGTTTAAATTGGGGGAGGAGTATAACAAAATAGTGTGGTTTCATAAAGTTAGCTGATATTGTAAATTGGCTCCTCCAAAGAGTTTCTAAGCTGATGTTTCGAGCCTTAGCCCTTCCAGTCATTCACTCTGACAAAGGACTAACAATGGAAATGTCAGCTTAGAAACTCTTTACAGTGGTCAATTTACATTATTATTATCAACTCTGTTTTATAACACTAGATTATCTCAAAATTCTTTTATTCATCCTCAATCAATAAACCCCAGAACATCAAGGCTCTGGAGAATAAAATGTAAGATTTATACAATTATTCGTGGAGGTGTGGTGGCCTCATGGTTTGCGCACTCAACTCCGGATCAAGTGGTCTGGGTTCAAGCCCTGGCCGGGGATATTGTGTTGTGTTCTTAGGCAAGACACTTTGCTCTCACAGCGCTTCTCTTCACCCAGGTGTACAAATGAGTACCAGCAAACATCCTGGGGGTAACCCTGCAATGGACTAGCATCCCATCCAGGGGGGGAGTAGCAATACTCCTAGCCGTTTCATGCTAAGGAAACCAGAGCTAAGCACCAGCCCCATGGGCCTCTTAGGCCTGTATAAAGGCATTACTTTTATGCAATTATTAACATATATGAAGCACTATGGTTCTCTCTCTCACATTCCTTAATTTAAGAAATTTTAGATGGCTAACTAACCAATCATCATCATCTTCCTTGTAAAGTTTGACTGTGTCATCATAACTGCATGATGCCAGAATCTGTAAAGAATTGGTAATAACCAGTCATTCACAATAGAAGAAATATAAAATCAATATGTTTACCTCCAGTATACATATATGTATACCTCCAGTAAGGAACCTTGACAAAGCACTGCTTCTCTTTTAACCAACAAGATCCCATTTAATGGTTGTTACTAAGTACTACACAATTTTGCTCTGACCTCCTTGTCTGGATGCCAAACAACTCTCTTCACATCCTGTGAGTGACTGTGAAGAACACTTGCACATTCATACTCATCGTCTTCTTGCACTAAAAAATGTAGGAGATAATTATAACATTGCTCCTTTCAGCAATAATTATTCCTTTTAATTTCCACAATATCCAGAAGGAGGTTCTTACATATATACTGAGCACATCACAAAATTAATTTACAGGTTTTCAGACTAGTTTCACACCTGAGAAGATGAGTGGAGTCCAACCCTGCCCAACCCATACTGATTTTTCTCACATTAGCTGTCAAAGTCTGAGTTAATGTGCCAGTCAGTCAATGATGATGGATAAAAATGCATGTAAGAAACAGGGTGGCAGAGATGTAGATACAAGCAGCCATTGTTGTTTATTTGTATTGTTGGTACCTTCCCATATCCAAACACTCTTGTCTCTTCCACAAGTTGCAATGAATGATCCTGAAGAACTCCAGGCTACTGATTTGACCTCATTTTCGTGTCCTTCGAGAGTGGCATTACACTCAAACTCTAAAATCAATAAAATATTTCATATCAATTTATTAATCCCAACAAAGTCAATCATAGGATAAATCATACAAAAGACAAAAGTTCTTGTAAAAATCAGTAAGTTTCAGTGTACTCATCATAGTGGTTTTCCAGTAACCCGACATTACTACGCTGATTATACATGTACATGTTACACTGCAGATATATGTACCTTAAAGTAGTAATGTTGGCTGTTTCAAACAATTTTTGTAAAGAAACTTTGCATGGTTAGTTGGTTGTATTTCAATGCAACATTAACCACAACTTTAACCTTAGATACTAAATTACTACATTGGAGAATAATTATGGAGTGTATGATCTTTATATATCTACCTCCACTGTTTTTATCCCAAATACAGATAGTTGCATCAAAGCTGGCAGAAGCTAGGTACATCCCATTTGGAGACCAATCCACTAAAACAAACAATCAAAATAAGCATTTATTTTCAGTTTTTAACTGAAATACCTATCAAGGCCATCGTGATATTTTTCCACTCTTCCACAGATATAAAAAAACAAAATCATCAGAAATTATTGTGTATTAATACCCCAAATTCCTATTCAGTCTGGAAACAGTGGACAAGAAGAGCCACCTAGCAGAATGTCAATTGTTAAATTCGCATATGATATTATGATTGTTATTATTATTATTATTTGTAGTAGTAGTAGTAGTAGTATTATTATAAATTTTTTTATTATATTCATTTTACCATTCTCACCTGATCTGATGGTTCTTTGATGTCCATCTTCAAGTACTGTTTTACAAACCCATTTGTCTCCCTCTTTACCCCAGAGACGAATGTGTTCAAGTTAAGAAACAATATTCAAAGAAAAGTTGTTTACATATTGGATTAAATTTATTCAGAATCATACTACTACATCTAAAATTATTCAAGCAAATTGTATACTTCGTCAATTTTAAAAAAACATAATAATTTCACTGACCACAAAAAAATAACATTTGGTAATGTCTAATTAATCCAGTATTCTTTGGTGCAAAAACTAGACAAAACTAGACTAATTTCATTAATCAAACTTAAATAAAATAAACGTCTGAAGAAAATGTAACTGCAACTTTAATGATATTGTTTTATCTCCTCCACAGCTTGCCAATAATGTTCCAGAGGGATTCCAACAAACAGACCATACTCTGTCTTCGTGACCTAAAAGACCCCAAACAGTTGCAAGGATTACGATAAGGAGATTGACGGGAGGTGCTAAAATTTTTCTTAATGAAAAAAAGGGAGTTATATAATACGAACTAAATTCCCCTAGGCTGCACTACCTTCCAGAGTTTGCACAAGCTCCAAATTTCCAGACATATTCAGTACTTGGTCAGAGGGAGCAGAAATTTACCAGGCATCATATGCTCTCAATAATTGAGCCCGCGACCTTTCTTTATTTCGCACAGCATCACAGATCATGCGCATTTCAAGCGTCTTACATAAGCTATGACGCAATAAAATTATCCCTTTCAAATTGACGCACGGAGGAAGTGTAAAGCAATACGTGTTACCGGTTGCAACTTAGTGTTTCAGCGTAGTTTTCTACCTAAAGTAAGTACTAATCAGTCAAAATTTCCCTTCAATTATTCTTGTGCGTACACTTATTACTCTCCTTAGCCATTTCGGTTTGCTTAGTTGACGGGGGAAAGATTCTGTCACACGTGTGTGCGAGCGGAATTTTACCGGCATGTATTCGACTTTTGTACTGATGGAAGTCCAAGTTCGCCGTCGAGGTTTCTTGCCTTCTTCTTGCTGATGAACCGGAATATTACTAACATTTTCAAACACTCTTTAGATTTCAACAAGACTTGTTAAAGGAAGGGCATTATCGTGTCTGTGTCGACTTTTCGTATAGTAATTCTTAACAAACCGGTGATCGAGTCGTACAGTATGTGGAAAATTGAAACACTCTAAGAAGGCCTAGGGTAGTAACAAAGAAAGAGAAAAACCTAGAAAATCATAGCCTAGACGATCATTGCCCAGAAGTGCTCCGCGATTGTAACATCTGCTAAGTCGGCCGGCTCTTTCGTGTTCTGGTCAGGTTTTTGCCCCAACTCGTCGATATAACATATCGTGCTCCGCTTCAAGCGTGATGCAACTTCTGTTTCAAAAATGTTTCTGTTCCAGGCAAAACAATTTTTGTCTCGCAGTTGATCTTGTTTGGGCTACCGAATCTATTATGTAATCAAACTATGTTCAATTGTGCATCGTGTGATATAATCGTGTCCTCTCCTCAGCAATTTCCTCTGGTCAATTTATATTTGATCAGAGTACTTGATTGTAGATCAAAGTTTCGTTCCTGTGAACGGGAGACGCTGATGTTGGTTACTGTTTAAAGGTTAACCATATTGTGCCCTGGTTTTCAAGGCAATACAGAATTCTTCGAGAAGATTGTAACTTTGCTTTGTCACCAAAGGTATTTATTATTGTTGATTCAGGAACAATGGGTGATATTCCTATTGGAGACGCCACAAAGGGGGCAAAGATCTTCAAGACTAAATGTGCACAGTGTCACACAGTAGAGGCAGTAAGTTCACAGTGCTCAATTTTATCCTGTTTAAGTTTTCAGAGTATACAATGTACTTTGTAGCAGTGCAATATTACACCATCACTGACCCCAAGTACCAGCAGTTTCTTCTGTGAATCTGTTTGATAGGTTTTGAAAAGTCTTGACACATTTTTAATGCTTTCATAGCTGCAGATCACTCCTAGCACCCAAATACCCAAAGTATTTGCCTAAATGGACCTTTCTTTTTTCTGTTCAGAATGGTAAGCATAAGACGGGTCCGAACCTTCATGGCTTGTTTGGTCGCAAAACTGGACAGGCACCAGGTTTCTCTTACACTGATGCTAACAAGAACAAGGGCATCACATGGGGCCCAGACACTCTGTGGATTTACCTGGAAAACCCCAAGAAGTACATTCCTGGTAGGTGTTTAGATATAGGCATGATGCATGTACTGGAAATTTCATGGAATAAATTATGTATGAACCTGTCAATGGGATAGCAGTTGACCCCAAATGGAACACTGTGTAATCTTGAGTTATTAGAGTAATGCTGGAAGCTTTTCACAATTAACTTGTTTTGAAGACTTTAGGCCTCTTTTTTTAATTTTTCTTTTCTATTACATGCTATTCTTCTTATTCTGTAAGGTTAATTTCAAATGTCCCACTTTTATTGCTGGAAACTAAAGTAAAAAAATTATTTGGAGTATGTAATATTAGCATTATATTTGAAACCCTATAATGGGGCTTTTAGAATTCATTTCAGCACAGTAAAGTTAAGACTAGGTTTTCAAGTGTTAAATTAATACAAATTTTCTTCTAAAGGAACAAAGATGGTCTTTGCTGGTCTAAAGAAAAAATCTGAGAGAGCAGGTTGGTGAAATATTTTCCCTGAGAAGTCCATTCTAACCACATAAAGCTTTCTTTATATTGTAGAAGTTTATTTGGAAGTTTTAAAGTGCTAAATTGTGAGATTATGAAGCATGTCAAGTTATACAGTTTCTATAGTACAACAGAAGAATGAGTAGAGAAGGAGAAGGAACATGTAACCAGAAAGCAAGGCTTTTTGCTCTCAAAGGAGAATTTCTTGTTTACTTTGAACTCCATCTAAGTTTGAACTGTGTGTTAAAATATGATTGTGAGCAAAACATTCTGTTTGTTTTAGATCTCATTGCCTACCTGAAGGAGGCCACAAGCTGAAACCAGTTTTGCGCAGAATAATGCAGAAGTGCCATGCAATAATATGGATTTTACTTTCTTTTCATCAAGCATGTAACATACTATTTGAAAAGACACTAGTGTGGATTGCTGGAATGTGTCTGAACAACTTTAATTAATTTGCTGTACAGGATGTGAAACAGTATTATTTACAAGGCTGTGCTTTGTTGTAATGTACTGATTTTAAAAGGCCATGGTGACAATGAAATTTTTTGAGTTTTAAATGGCTTTCTTTATGTCTTACTTCTCAGAGTTGTCAATTAATAATAACATTAATGATTATACTTCTAAGTAAAACTGGTGACTATGCATTTACCAGCAACTCTCAGAAGAAGCTTCCCTTTCCTTTAGACCACAGTTTTATAGTTTCACATTTCTGGTTGAATTCCCTTCCTTGACAAAACTTTTCACAAAGATGATGTTATGCAATCAGTTGTACTTTAATACGGTTGTGAAAGAATGTATTGGCTTGCCATGGTCATTGGAGGCTGTTTAACCATATGTGACATAGGAATGCTAGTTGTGCAGAATTATCATAGCTGGGCAACAGTTCTGACATGTATTTGAATGAAGAGAAGACGAATCTTCAAAGGCTAATTAAGGATTCACTGCACTATGGGTAGGTAACATTGACCATTGCAAAGAACACGGACCACTTGCAAGTTGTGTCATGTTAAATTCCCATTTCTCTGTATTTTTCAACATACTACAACAACACTCACCTTTAAAGGCAATTTGCTCTGACAAAGGGCTAACACTCAAAACATCAGCTTCGAAACTCATCATAATGGCCACCTTATAATATCAACTCAGTTGATAAAACCAAGTAATCTTGTTTCATTCCCCCACTGACAAAGTACCACAGTTAAATTAGAAAGTTACCCCCTTTACCCCTAAAGGTGAGTCTGCAGTGTTTTACATATTTCCTATAGAAAATACTAGACCTCAAATCTATCTTGTGTTAAGAAGAGAATGTAGTCCAAGGAGCAGAAGTGCAATTAGTTTCCAATGATTCTGATAACCTCCCCAATTATCCACTTAGTGCATCAAATTGAAATGTAGGCTTAGGTATGCAATAACAAATTAATCCCAAATTGCCCTCACACAAAATTTCAGCTTTTATGATGTATTTCAAAACCTTTAACTGTTAACAATACCCTAAAAAAAGTGTTGCATATATGTTATACAGTAAAACAAGAATTATTACACACCAGCAATCAACATTACTTTGAACAAAATTTTATTCATTTTTCTTTAAGCTTGTTAATCAGTCATGTTTGTAAAAAATGCAGTCATTCACAATTTTTTGACAAAAATAGACCCAACAAGTTGAAAACAGGCAATTAAAGTAGCTAACAGCAAAGAAATATTGCTTGGTTTATACCTAACAATAAAAAGAAATCATTTCATGCTTTACTACAACAAACTTTGTTGCAAACAATCCATCTGAAGATCAATCAGAACTTTACTGAAGAGATTGAAATAATGATGGAAATAATAAGTTGATAATAATGCTCCTTAAGTGGCATTAGAGAAAATACTCAAAGGATTGGTAAAGATAAAAGGTAACCACTAACTGGTTAGCTCTTATAAGTCACAAAATTGGGTTGAATTTAAATCAAATCTAAACAATCTCAATACATCGTATGTTACATGATACTTTCTTTTCCTAAAAAATCCTTGACAGCCTAGACAGTTTTTCTGTCACTTAAAACACGGACAATGGAACCAAGTCCAGCCACTGCCAAAAGCTGAAACATAAGAAAATTTACAAAACTAAGAATCTAACCCTACAGCCTCATGCTCATAAATGGGAACACCACATTACAAGTATCTTTTTACTACATGAGAAAGTATTCTATCAACTGTTTTAAATATAAAGAGCTACACTTAGAGTGGCCTTGTTGAGGAGGTAAATAAATGACTAGAAAAATGACAAGTGTTCCCGAAAAACTATCTCGTCCAGAATTCCAACTAAACATTTCTACTATACTTGTTGTGTGATCTCATGCTGGATGAAATAACTAACCTTTTCATGCCATGTAAGTAACGTAGCACTGGATCCCTCAGTGGGCTCAGCAAAACCTCTGTAAATGTATTTCATCAACACATCCTGCTCATTCTGGTCCAAGATTTTGACACATTTGTCCACTTCAGGTGCCTTCACAGCAGTAAGTACACGTAATACTATCCCAAATGCCTTATCCTGCAAAACAGTTTGCAGAAATCTCTTATAAACTCTAGCTATAAATGATTTCCTCTCAAGTTTCATTACAGTAAGCATATTAAGAGGAGTTTTAAATTTTCACTTGCTACTCATCAAGTGTTCTAGACAAAGGGCTCTTGAAAGAGGGTCCAAAATAGACTTTTCCAATCCCACATCCTGCAACTGTTTCTCATTTTATCCCACCAGGTTAAACCCAAGTTGCTCTGGTTCACCACCAACTGATGGACAAATAAGAGCCTTTACAATATTGACAATGTACTCCTGTTATTGAGAAAGGAAAAGAATTGATTAATGCATATTTAGCCAGCTAGAAAGACAGTCTTAATAAGTGAGACCTGCAGAAGGACCACCAGAAAAACTATTCTGTTACATAGATAAAATAAAATTCTTCAGTCGATCACACAACAACAGAAGTCACATCTCAAGATACAACAGACTCCATCAACTTCATAGAAAAGACAAAGCTTCAGAAAGTAGTGATACTCCTTTCAATGGATGTTATCAGCTTATACAAAAATATACTCTCTCATTCCCGCCCCCATCCAAAGTTCTTACTAGAGAAAGCACCTAAACTAACTTGGCTGGAAAACTCATCCCAATTCAGTGAACAAAATTACTTGCAAATGCATGGAACTGCCATGGGTACCAACATGTCGGTAGCCTTTTCAAACATCTTCATGGCTAAAATTGCAATGCAAATCCTAGATAAAGGTGTTCATTTGGAAACACATCAATGACATAATCTCTCTCTTGAACACCAACTGATATGTCATCAACCAGTTCATTGAACAAGCAAACAATCATCAGCCAACGATCAAATTTACAGCTGAAATATCTGTTTCAGAAGCTACTTTTAGACATCACTATCTGTAAGGGAGAGAGATTCAACAGGGAGCCAGTTTTAACATAAGAACCTACTTCAAACCAACATAGATAGTTGGGTACACACTCTCCACAATTTCATTAAAGGTGAAGCATTAAGACTTCCCAGGACTAATTCTTCTAAGGGAAAGTTTGAAGAGGCTATTAGACAGTTCAAAACATACTTGGCTGAGAGAGACTAAACGAAAAACTTTTTTGACAACCCACTCTTTGGAGTGAACTTGAACGACCTTAACCGGCCCACCTCTAACAGGAAAAACAAACAATCAAATCTTACCCTTTGTAATAACACAATTCTATCCAACTGTTGCAAACCTTAAAGAAATCCTTATGAGCCCATGAAATTTAGTACAGCAATAACCATTGCTAGGAGAAACCTTCAAAGAACTGCCAATAGTATCATACGGAAAGGGGCCTTCACTCAGACATACTCATGAGGAAAAAAAAATTATAATGAAGGCAAGAAAACTGGAGATACTATGGAGATGTGCAAACATTTGTAACTAACACAGAGAAAACAGGACTTGGTACAGAGTCATTTCAGAATGTCAACCCCAATTTACGCGGGAGCATTAATTAAGTTCGATTCCAAAGCAAATGAATACTTTTTGATGTCTCTATGTTCGAGTAACTCATAACCTGAGTTAAATTATGATCTCACCTATAGCCATCCTATCTTCTATCCTGCCTTCAAACTGGAGCACATCCTGGTCTCACCATCCTATTTTCCTATATAATTTCTTGTATCCTACATCCCCCTAAATTTTGAGCTACATCCCACATCCCGCCAAACCCATGTTGGACCCTCTCAAAGACATTGGGTTCAGTGGTCAAATATTGTATTTAAAGTCCCCTTAGCATCCAAAAGATGGTAGCAATCTGGTCTCATATCATGTAAGGAGTCCCAATTGCATAACCTAACTACCATCTCCTTAGCAGTAAAAAAACTTACATATGTCAAGCCAGCCTTACAAAAAAAAAATTATCATCTTTCTTATTATATTTACAATAGTTCAAATGTTTTCATAGTATTTTCAATCGGTGTCAGGATCTTGCGTCGTCCAACTGAGTCTGTCTCAGTCCTCCAAATTTCCTCATTATCCATTACGAAAATGTACTAATCAAGAATGTGTTTGCAAAAACTGCGAAGAGCATGAAAGATGATAGTAGTCCTCTACCTTTGTCGCCTGGTTTTTCGACATAATAGGAGCATTCGTCAAAGCAGCTTTAAGGGCTTCTGCATTTTTCTGCCTAAATTAAAGTTAAGGACTCAAAAAACGTAGGTTGTGTTAAATGTAACTTTCGTGAGATGCTGCATATACTATCCTATCATGGTTCACTGCTGACCTCGGTTAGTCTTTAAAATATGGGTTAAATTGCAGTGGAAAGGAGAGGGGAATATTTAAGATTCATACAACCTTAGTGGGACCAATTTCTTTCCTATTAACTGCTAAAATGTGAAATAAAAATTGAGTTTTCCGTGCCATGAAAGGATACTGCATCAGCAAGTTCTTGACTTCCCCTTCATCCGGTCCGCTTTGACCTGAATCTTCATCTCCATCGTCTTGAAATGTGTTTTCATCCAACTCATCTACATCTACTCCCCTAAATTTTGTCGACTGGCTGGATTTCGACATATCGAAAGAAGATTTAAGAAAGAAATAACTTCAATATTCGTATGGAATGGACGGAAACAACTCACTCCCTTCCCTTCCCATAAATCATCGGGAACATAGTCCTAGAGCCAGTCTCCGGTAGTCGACAGCAGTCATCGATGACACTTTCGGGGAGGCGGGGGCGATATTTAGTTCACTTCGTGTAACTTTGGACTACAGAAGGTCGCAAAACTCCGTTGGCATCCCCTTTGACCTATCCTTCTACATCTTTTTCAAACTTTATTTTCTGAAATGAGTGTGATTCAGTAAACAGTCACGTTACCTTCACAGGTTCTTCCTAGAGTTAGAATTGACTTAAATAAAAGTAATATAAGACTGGATCTAAACTGCCTCTTTTTCAAATTTTAAATAATGCCTGTGAGAGTGTTACCCATCCTTTGAACTATGATATTTTTAAAGCCAAGTTTATCCTAAAAGACTGCTCTATGTGTCTGTTAGTGTCATTTCTGTGTGCATGTAAGCAAGCATGGACTTAAAGTACCACCGCTATCAACATTAAAATTTTTCGTGTTTAATACAGGTCCCTAATATTTTCAACTTCCCAGCTATTTCAGGGGGTTGAAACACTCCAATAAACGTACTTGATATTAATGGAAGTAGATATTGTATAATTTGTTTATGCCTACAATCAAAATACTAAATTTAAGATGCTTCTGGTCTAATAAGCTTTCGTTATTGATGGTAGTCAGTGTTACCTACGCAACAGAGCGGACTTTCTGGGTTTCAACAGCATAATAAACCCATGTTCAAGGCTGGAGCAACACAAAAAGGTTAAAAAGTAATGCTGATCTTCATCAAGTAAGGATGATGGGACAGTTGACTCATACACTTCATCTATTGAAGTATCCCATGATTTCCTAAATTAGCGGATTCCTGACGTTTGTGATTAAGTCATTCCTGTCCACGATGTGCCGTGTTTCCTTGGCGTTTTAAGGGAGTTTTCCCCTAATGAAGTCTCACGAGTTAAAAAAAAAATGGAGACTGATGGGTTATCTATGGGCTATTCACTTAGATTTTTTTGTGGTTTTAAGACAGCACTATTTGGAGCGAAGGAGGTGGGGGTGAAGGGGCAGAGAAGCTGGTGTTGAGATTTTATTCATTTATTTCCCATCTTCTGGGCTTGCATTTGGAGTTCATAAGGTCTCGCACGCGCTGTTAACGGCCCGAGCGCGCGAACATTACGTAACAAAGCAATAGGTTGCTAAGGAACGCAAACAAACAACAACAATTAAAAAAAATCCTAAAAGGTAAAACTTTGCAAAAGATTGTCTTGCTACAAAAGGGCCCATAAAAGGTCAGTTACGAAGTAACCCGCTTAAAGGTTCAATAGATACATGTACAGAGTCATCTAAAAAGTAAGCAGTTTGAAAATTACGGTGCATATATTTCAAGAATCATTTTGAAAGAAGCGTTTTAAAATTTGCACTGAATATATCCAGAAGTATAAATATGATTGTAAAGCATCTCAAAAGTCACCAAGCAAAAGACAGTATAAAGTTGCAGAAAGAAAGAATGCGATTCAAAGATGCAGTATAAATATCTCGAGGACCGCTTGGAATAAATGAATGCGAGAACGATCTTCGCAGTAATGAACACTACTTAAGCAGTAGTGGAATTAACCAGTTTAAAAGTTGTAGTGCATGTTTATGACTCAAGAACAATTTAAAACAGAGGCAGTTTGAAAGTTGTAGGGTATATCTCAAGCGTCAGTTAAAAATGAGGCAGTTTCAAAATTGTGAAGTATATATTCCAGGATTATCAAAGGATGCAAGCAGTTTAAAAGTTGCATGGTAAATATCTTGAGAATAAGTTGATAAGGAAGCAGTTTGAAGGTTGCGGTGTATGTATCTTGAGAGCCATTTAGAAGGAAGCATTTTGAAGGTTGCGGTGTATGTATCTTAAGAGCCATTTAGAAGAAAGCATTTTGAAAGTTGCAGTGCATACATCTCAAGAGCCATTTAGAAGGAAGCATTTTGAAAGTTGCGGTGTATGTATCTCAGGAGTCACTTAGAAGGAAGCAGTTTGAAAGTCGCGGTGTATGTATCTTAAGAGCCATTTAGAAGAAAGCAGTTTGAAAGTTGCGCTGTATGTATCTCAAGAGTCACTTCGAAAGAAGCAGTTTGAAAGTTGCGGTGTATGTATCTTAAGAGTCATTTAGAAGAAAGAAGTTTGAAAGTTGCAGTGCATATAATTCAAGAGTTATTCAGAAGGAAGCGGTTTGAAAGTTGCTTTCTTCTGAATGACTCTTGAGATATATGCACCGCATATACATGGTAAATATGTTAAGAGTCGGTTAATAAGAGAGCGGTTTGAAAGTTGCTGTGTATATCTCTCAAGAGTCATTTAGAAGGAAACAGTTTGAAAGTTGCGGTGCATAGCTCTCGAGAGTCATTTAGAAGGAAGCAGTTTGAAAGTTGCCGTGTACATATCTCAAGAGTCATTTAGGGGGAAGCAGTTTGAAAGTTGTGGTGTACATCTCTTTGTATACACTTTATACAGCCCCTCTTGCTGACATCATTCGAAAGCATGGTCTCCTTTACCACCTCTATTCAGATGACTGTCAAATCTATGTGTCGTTTAAATCAAGTCCTGATGAAGTATCCGCAGCTCTTGCAAAATTGGAGGATTGTGCTAGTGAGATCTACGCTTGGATGGCATGTTATAAATTAAAACTCAATCGTGAAAAGACTGAGTTTTTAAGTAATACATGCCAAATATTGCCCGTGCCCAACAACAGACGAGATTACAATCGCTGGTGTTAAAATAGGAAAGTCAGTAAAAGCTAGAAACATAGGGGTTATCTTTGATAGTTTTATGGACCTTGAACAGCATATTAATCATATTTGTAAGGTGGCTTTTTTCCATATACGTAATCTATCAAGGATCAGGAACTGTCTTTCTCTAAAAGATACAGAAACATTGGTCCATGCATTCATAACGACCAAGCTAGATAACTCTAATTCACTATTGGCTGAGCTGCCACAAACCTTAATAGATAAGCTTCAGCGTGTTCATAACGCTGCCGGGCGCTTAGTCTCCCTTACTTGCAAGTATGATAAAATCATTACGCCAGTCTTAATGGATCTCCATTGGCTACCTGCTAAACAACGTATATCTTTGAAGATATTACTACTTACATATAGGGCCTTGAATGCCTTGGCGCCTCAATATATATCGGACATGCTAATGCAGTACATACCAGCTAGAACTCTACGCTCTTCTAACAAACAGTTCTTGGGTTAGGGTTAGGTTTAGGTCGTTTAGAAGGAAGCAGTTTGACAGTTGCAGTGTATATATCTTAAGAGTCATTAAGATGGAAGCCGTTTGAAAGTTGCGGTGCATATCTCTCAAGAGTCATTTACAAGGAAGCAGTGTGAAAGTTGCGGTGTATGTATCTCAAGAGTCATTTAGAAGAGAGCAGTATGAAAGTTGCTGTGTATATATCTTAAGAGTCATTGAAAAGGAAGCAATGTGAAAGTTGCAGTGCATATTTCTCAAGAGTCATTGAAAAGGAAGCAGTTTGAAAGTTGCGGTGCATATATATCTCGAGAGTCATTAAGCAGTTTGAATGTTGCGGTGTATATATCTCAAGTGGTATTAAGAAGGAAGCAGTTTAAAAGTTAAGGTGCACATATCTCAAGGCCATTTAGAAGGAAGCAGTGTGAAAGTTGCAGTGTATATATCTCCAGAGTCATTAAAAAAGGAGCAGTTTGAAAGTTAAGGTGTATATATCTCAAGAATCATTTAGAAGGAAGCAGTTTGAAAGCTGCGGTGCATATCTCTCAAGAGTCACCAAGAAGGAGGCAGTTTGAAAGTTGCGGAGCATATCTCTCAAGAGTCACCTACAAGGAAGCAGTGTGAAAGTTGCGCTGTATACATCTCAAGAGTCATTTACAAGGAAGCAGTTTGAAAATTTCAGTGTACATATCTTTAGAGTCATTTAGGGGGAAGCAGTTTGAAAGTTGCGGTGAATATCTCTCAAGAGTCGTTTAGAAGGAAGCAGTGTGAAAGTTGCAGTGTATCTATCTTAAGAGTCATTGAAAAGGAAGCAGTGTGAAAGTTGCGGTGTATATATCTCAAGAGTCATTTACAAGGAAGCAGTTTGAAAATTTCAGTGTACATATCTTTAGAGTCATTTAGGGGGAAGCAGTTTGAAAGTTGCGGTGAATATCTCTCAAGAGTCGTTTAGAAGGAAGCAGTGTGAAAGTTGCAGTGTATCTATCTTAAGAGTCATTAAGAAGGAAGCAGTGTGAAAGTTACGGTGAATATCTCTCAAGAGTCGTTTAGAAGGAAGCAGTGTGAAAGTTGCAGTGTATCTATCTTAAGAGTCATTAAGAAGGAAGCAGTTTGAAAGTTGCGGTGAATATCTCTCAAGAGTCGTTTAGAAGGAAGCAGTGTGAAAGTTGCAGTGTATCTATCTTAAGAGTCATTTAGAAGGAAGCAGTGTGAAAGTTGCATGCATATTTCTCAAGAATCATTGAAAAGGAAGCAGTTTCAAAGTTGCGGTGCATACATCTCAAGAGTCATTGAGAAGAAAGCACCTTAACTTTCAAACTGCGGTGCATACATCTCAAGACTCATTTATAAGGAAGCAGTTTGAAAGTTGCAGTGTATCTATCTTAAGAGTAATTAAGAAGGAAGCAGTGTAAAAGTTGTGGTGCATATCTCTCAAGAGTCATTTAGAAGGAAGCAGTTTGAAAGTTGCGGTGCATACATCTCAAGAGTCATTTAGAAGGAGGCAGTATGAAAGTTGCAGTGTATATATCTTGAGTCATTTAGAAGCAAGCTGTTTGAAAGTTGCGGTGCATATATCTCGAGAGTCTATAAGGGGGAAGCAGTTTGTGGTGTATATCTCTCAAGAGTCATTTAGAAGGAAGCAGTATGAAAGTTGCAGTGTATATATCTTGAGTCATTTAGAAGCAAACTGTTTGAAAGTTGCGGTGCATACATCTCAAGAGTCA